CTTGCCTGTTCCCACATGTCTGATGCACAGCTTGAGAGTTGTAGACGATAACTCGTGCTGAAGATCAGTGTCTTCTTTTTGAATCTGGGCGAGTTTAAGAAGGTCGATTCCTTGGAAACTGTTCAAGGAAGTTATGCGAGATAAGGCGTCTGCAACTACATTGTTTGCTCCAGAAATATGTTGAATATCTGAAGTCCAGTTGTCGAGACTCACGAGGTGAGCACTTGTTTGAAGAAGAGCTTAACGAGAAAGTAAGAGGTTTATGGTCAGTGAAAAGAGTGAATTCACGGCCTTCGATAGTGTTGAAAATGCCGTACAGCACAATACATAGCTAGGAGTTCCCTACCGAATGTACTGTACCTCGACTCGGTGTCTAGCAACCGTCTAGAGAAAAATTCTAAAGGTTGCCTGGAGTTGTTAACTCATTGTTGTAAGACTCCTTCGATTGCTGAGTCGGATGCGTCTACTGCGATGCTAATGGGTGCTTCAATGTCCTGATGTGCGAGTATTGTTGCTTTAGCGATAAGTTCCCTAATTGTGGAGAATGCTTTTCGTGCGGTGTCGTCCAAATTAATGGATTTCGCATTTCCACGAAGTTGATCAGTAAGAGGTTTCATGAGTAACGCACATTTCAGTATGAATCGTCTATAGAAACTTACAAGGCTGTTAAACGTTCGTAACTGCTTGATCGTGGTCGGTTCTGGGTAATCCAGAATGGCCGCCACTTTGGTTCTAAGGGGTCGAATGCCTTGAGCATCGATAGTGTGTCCTAGGAAGTCTAATGAGTCAGTCTCGATTTGGCATTTCTGAACGTTTACAGTAATGCCATGTTTTTGTAGTCGTTCGAAAACAAGATCCAGATGCTTGAGATGTGTTTCTCTGTCCGGACATGCGGTTAGGCAGTCATCAACATACGCATGTACGAAGTTGAGACCTCATCGTCTATGAATCTTTGGAATGTTTGAGCAGCGTTTCTTAGACCGAAAGGCATTCGCAAAAATTCATAGAGTCCGAAGGGAGTAATGATGGCGGTTTTCGGTATGTCGTCTGTGGCCATAGGGATTTGGTTATACGCTTTAACCAAGTCGATTTTCGAAAAGACAGTTGTACCTTTCGAGGTAGCTGTCAAATCGTGAATGTGAGGCAACGGGTAACGATCGGGAATGGTTTTCGCATTCAATCGCCGATAGTCACCAGTTGGACGCCAGTCGTTGCTGTCCTTTTTAGGGACCATGTGCAACGGAGATGCCCATGGGCTATTTGACGGTCGTATGATTCCTAAGTCTATCATATGGTCGAACTCGTTTTTGGCCAACCTTAGCTTTTCAGGAGCTAGTCGTCGTGCTTTAGAGAATACAGGTGGTCCTGTAGTCGTGATGTGGTGTAACGTTGCTGGTTACACACGGCAATCTCGGTTGAGTTTATTGTTTCCCAGGATACTTATCGAGTAGTGGCTGATAAAGTGGGTCTATCGTATGCTTAATTGTGACGGGATAATCTGAAACCAGAGAAGGTAGTTACGCAAACGGATAATTTAGTGTTTCCGTCTACTAGCTTCCGTTTGCGCGTATCGATGATTAGATTATGGTGTTGTAGAAGGTCCATACCAATAATTGGCATAGAAACATCTGCAACAACGAAGATCCAGTGAAAGGGTTTGTGTAAAACCACGCTAAGGTAAACGTATTTATTGCCATACGTAGCGATAGGTTTTCCGTTTGCCGCCTGAAAGTTTAGAGCCGATTCGTGAAGCCGGTCGTTGGGATTCGCTGGGAGAACGCTAACTTCTGCGCCAGTGTCGACGAGGTAGCGAACTCTCGTTGTCACATCTGTGACGAATAACAGACGGCTTTGTTCGCCGGCTACGGTTTCCGTTAACGCGTGCCGTCTTGGAAGTTTCCCGAATTGTTTTTCGAATCAGTCGGTTTCGTGTTGGGAAAATTGCAGGGTTTTCTGCAATTTCTGGAAGACTTTTCATACTGGTTATGATACCGGCACCAGTCGGTGGTCTAGAGATTAGCTAGTGATTGCGATAGATGTTGAGCAGGGCGTTACCACACGTGATCTGGTGCGGATGCATGACCGAGCGCCTTCGGCTAGGTGAGTCCATTAAAACATGTGGTCAGCATCCAATGTCGAAAACTTACAGAGCTATTTAATTTTGGGATTTATTTACCGCTACAGGCAATTTAGCGAACTAAAAAAAACATGATAACCAATCAGAGGGCAAAAGTCATGAAGAAAACCCAATTAGTAGAAAGTATGCGAGCGACTGTCGTCCTGGGAGAGATCTTAGCCGTTCTAATAAAATCCACTTTAGCAGTCCTATATCTTCTAAGTGTTCTGACTTCATGGAGTTATGGTTAAACATGCGAGCGATCATACGGGTTTAACGTGAAAGTAAACTCACACCATATATGAAAGTTCTGGCAAAGGATTTCTGAATCAGTTGTTACAACTGTTTTTTAGTAGCATATCGAACGAGATAATAATGTGAAAAACTATCGACAGAACTTTTAAACATAGATATTTACACCTGGAACTATCACTAAATGTAAACTTAGTAACCTATAAGAGCCTATTAGCGTTCAACTTACATGAGTGCCTTGAGATTAGATAAATGCAACACAGACCTATTACTTTGTGGATGAAAAAATGGTTAGCTTAGACGTAAGCTTAAATGGCGCAAATGATGAACGTTGTGAATGCAACACAAGCAAAATGAAATAAAAATTTTAATAAGATAATACTAGAATGCGAGAGACAGTTAATGAGATCTTCAAATGAATTGGCGAAAACTTACAACGAACTCCAATTAGAGTATAGCATTAGGTATAACCATACAAAAAAAGGGAAAATTTTCGGAACCATTGGCCTTTTTAAAACACCTTTACTTACATGGATGACTATAGTCTAAGTTAGATTGTTCGGTTACGAGCTCATCCCTCATTTTAATACTTTAGTTATAGTCTATATACTTCCTTCTGTAAGGTTTACATGGTGACTGAGGTGATGTGACTCTTTCCCCGAAGGATAAGTCAAATAATTTTAATTTCTTTCTGGATATTGAACACGTAGGAACGCAGTCTCCTTAAAGTATTGAATAAACCAGATGAATGCAGGCAACGAGACCTGCTGAAACGCATAGGTGGAACCTAAACATTTCATCGAAAATCCTTTATGTTTTTGCTCCAGGCTGTTCACAAACGATGGTGTTATAGAGACTGGAAGGATGTTACACTTAGTCCTCTCTCCGGTAGAGTTATGAGACATAATCTTCAAAAATGCCTTCTTGTAGCTGTGATTGGCATATTCTTCAGGTCTCAGGACAGTATCTCACTATGATTTCTCAAGGTCATATTTTACACCAGGCGCTCTACAAGCCTACTTCATAACAACTATAAACCTAAAAAATTGTATCGCGTAGATACTTAGCAGGACCAGAATTATAACACAATTATGCTGAGATTGGATCTGGTGTGTAATGTGGACGCGATGACATCTTGAAAAATATTTTGAAGACTGTACTCAGTGTAATACTAAAGAATAAACCTAACCATTAACGCTCCAAGACGTCTGCACGAATGTACTGTCATTCACTTTTTTGATCATATCTATTAAACGACGCTACTTGGTAAATACAATGTGACTCAACAAATGTTGTAATTTGTAGATCATGCCTGCAAAAATGGCATCAGGGATTAACTACTACAACGTACAGAAACCTGTTGAGCAAAAGCCACCTACTTCCTATCCAGAACCATTCGAACCTTCTTACGGAAGGTAAACAAAAAGTAATGGTTGTCTGTCTGGCAAGTGATACTTAGTAGAACCACTATTAGAGATACTGCTTTGTTGTTAGCGTTACTCCTCTTATTTGACAGTTATCTTTCTGGTTTTGTTATGTGCTAACGATACGGAGATATGAAAGTCGTTCAAAATAAAAAAGATCAATCAGAGTTTCCGAAAGATCCCAAGAAGTTATCAGAACGACTGAGTATTTAGAAAGCTCTAATAAAGGTTATAAGGTGTATGATGAAACATAATGGTCACCAAGGCAGAAGCAGATACACACTTATTGGTTTTAGGTTACGCGTCTCTCGGGAGCACAATGTTTTCGTCAAAACGTGAGTATATAACTAAGAGACACAGTTATTATCTGAAGTACTTAAGCTTTTGGGAAAATGTAAACAACATCGGCTAAGTTGATACTAGGGACATAGATGCTGTTGTATGGGAAGAGCCTGGACAGACTCATTTTATTCCACTTATCTTACTCAAAAGCTGAGGTAACTCATTGATGATCCTTTGGTTACAAAAATAAAACTTTGCATAAAGACAGCTCCATTTTTTCGTTTGAAAAAGGTTGACGACGGGATTCCAAGACACCTCTCAAGCCAAGAACCAGTAACTTGATGCTTGAATGCCGGGTTTGTAGTCAAGAAATCAACACGTGGAACTCTTTCTCTCAGTAGGTAGTTGGAGATGCTTCGGTTAACATACCCCCAAGAAGGTTGCAAAAACGCCACAAGTTTTCGGAGTTTGACATTACTTTAATGAGTGACATTTTTCATAACCAGGACTTGTCAGTCCAGTGAAATCAGAAGTCAGAAGCGAAGTGGTTCGAAGATATAATTGGTAGGCTGTCGATATATCGAGAAGTGACTATTCTAAGCTGGCTAGCGGTTTTACGAGAGGTAAAGCATGGTGTACTAACCTGTGATCTGGTGCCGAGAGTCTTCAGCTAGGCTAGTTCATCAAGACTAATGCGTTCAGCATCAGATGTCAAGGACTTACGGAGCTATTTAATTTGTGGATTTATTTACGATTACAATTGAATCAAATGAGACTATTGAACGAGGACCAACACATGACATCCAGTGACTTATTCTTACTCATTCTCATTTGAAAGTGTACATTTATGGGGTGCAATGATATTTGAATAACTGTGATGAAGTGATATTTTTGTTATAGTGCTTCAGAAGTTCGAATCTCAGTAATTTTACTTTTGGCGCGTTGGTACGCACGCGTGGTTGGTCTATATATCTGCGCACAATGGTCGTAAAAAAAGAAGTTAAGGAGAAAACAAATAACCCGATGCGAGAAATAAAAATCCAGAAGCTATGCCTTGATATCTGCGTTGGGGAAAGCGGTGACAGACTAACTCGAGCTGCCAAAGTTTTAGAGCAATTGACTGGTCAGCAACCCGTTTTCAGTAAAGCACATAAGACTATTAGGAGTTTTTCGATCAGACGTAATGAAAAAATTGCTGTCCATTGTACTGTGCGGGGTCCAAAAGCAGAGGGTACGGCAGTTTAATCCCTAATTTTTCAGAAATTTTGGAAAAGGGTCTAAAGGTGAAGGAATACGAGCTTCCTAAATCATGCTTCAGTAAAACCGGAAACTTCGGCTTTGGATTGACCGAACATATTGATCTTGGATTAAAATACGATCCCGCTATTGGGATTTATGGAATGAACTTCTACGTCATTTTGGGCAGACCTGGGATGCGCGTTAGATATCGGTAATTGTACCTTCAGTTACTAAATTTTTGAACTAGACGTCGTTGTCAAAGCCGGGTTGGCAACAGTCATCATGTCCAGAAGGAAGAAGCTATGAAATGGTTCCAAACAAAGTTTGATGGTATTTTGTTAAACAAATAATTTAAAGAGGAAATTCTGGCATTTGTTATCTGGTTCTTATTTGTCGTGGCAATTCTTAAAATTAGCTTGTAATTTGGGTGTTTAACTATTGAATCCTTGTTGATCAGTTAGTGTAAGCGTAAATCTGTTTATACATGTTTCGATGATCATATAGCTTATCAAGTCGTTTTTGTAGTTGATGTATATGCTCATCCGTTTAGTTTACCTAAACTACTGCCCACAACATGATGTATATGCTAATCCGTTTAGTTTACCTAAACTACTGCTCACAACATGTAGCTTCTGTATATGTTCCTGCTACGACTAGATGGGTAATAAGGCCTTTATAATGATCAGATTCCTTGGTTTTTTCTTGATACATGATTGTGGCTTCGTAAATAAATTATAAAGTAGAAATTTGTCATTGGTGTAATATCTTGAGACAATCAAGTTTTACAACTCAGCTGTTAAATGGTCTTTGACTATTATGATGCATTATTGTGAAATGTTGGTCTGTCTGTTGAGTATAATATCTACCGACAGCTTACATGTTAACCTTTCTACAATATAGCAGTCAGACAATAACAGTGTAATAGAGTCTACATTTTTGTCACAGCTTAGGAATGATACTTCAGGTGATATCTCGATTCATGAATTCCTATCTGGAATTGCCGAAAAGTTGAAGATAAATATTATAATTAAATATCTAACCATTCAATTAGTTGTAAAAGGTTCAGTAGTCACAGCTACATATTTGAGGAACCATATAGTCTATGTTGTCTGATCTCTTACTTAGTCTTATCGAATACGGAGTTGTAGCCACACATTTTTATCGTGGCGAAAGTTCAGTATATTAAACAAAGTACTAGAGTTGTAATTAGAGTTTTGGCTGCTACCGAGCCTATATGCGCTTTGATTTGGCAGTCAACCAAAAATACTCGTAGCATTAAAAAACGGACCTTATCAACTAGCACTAAAATAACTTATAATAGTCTTTCGAACGGATATAGCGTTGGCAGTATTACAGATAGCTATTAGTAAGTCGATTTTGGCGTAGGGTATCTAGATTAGTCAAGACTATTTGGTTGGTATTCGAACCTACACCGAGGTCAGTGGTTGCAGACACTGAGCGATAACCTAGTCATTGGCGCAAATATATGCACTCGTTTTAGTCCTTTAAATACTTATTTCTGTTATGTTGTCATACGTTGCTGTCAATCTTCTCAGACCAGCTTAATTTTCAATTTTACGTATTACTATTGCTGTATTCTCTCGGCACACCTGTTACTCATCTTAAGTTGTCTTGTACTAGTGTTTATGGAAATCCAGCTCAGTCCTCGTTTGTACCAAACTCATCGCTGGTAACGTCTGATTGTTGGTAGTTAGGGGGTAAAATATATTATTCCTCGGCCCATCATCGCCTTCCAATCTGACTTTTCTAGCAGTACCATTATCCACAGATGCTTCACACACTATTATTAGGTAGAGCATTCCATACAAGTGGTTTGAGATAATGGTAAAAATTGAATGAGTCGCTATATTGGACCAGTAATTATTTGTGAAAATAACGTCGCGTATATGTTCGATTAGTATTTTTATCATACACATCTTCGGTGTAGTGCATATTTGTTAGTAAAGTCTCGAATTTCTGCAAGTTGTGGCAAACTTTTCGGGACTAGTTGCAACTGGTCATTATTGTCGGTGCTTTTAAACAGTTCAGTTAGGTCCCACTGTCGTGCTTAATATTTATGCCTGTTTGAGGGCTAATTGCTTGGCTGATAATTTCATTCCCAACCAAATGTCGGAATTGAGCTAGTAAGCAACAAAGATAATCTCTGATTAGAAGTGTTGTGCCTGGTTTTAAGCATTAGGACGAGTTTCGGTTTGGTCACTCGGGCAGTATCACAGTCCTCACACATCAAATGAGATCTGTGTGGCGCATGCGTATTTCGTGCATCGTACCAATATCTGTGTTGACATGATAATGCTAGGACGAGCGGGCTGCCATGTAATCTGATTAGTGGTGTTAGTCGTTGAAAGACTTTTCACTTATGAAAATAGTAATTGTTTCAAAGTTATGCAGTAATGGCACTAGACTGAGTGATTAGTTTATCTTACTGTAAGAGATAGAATGTTGGTTGGGATATCAACAAACTATCTTGTCACAATTCGATTGGGATATGGACTTCAGTATTCTTGGGAGACGATTCTGTGCTGTAAATAATTGCAGGAAACAAAGCGGTTGGCCTTCTGCATTGGGACTTATTAGCCTATAAAATTTGTGGGAATATGTGGACTAGGTATAGATGACTTATTGTTGTCTAAGGTGTGAACCTACTTACGATTTGTCTCGTTTTGGAAATTTTTTTCCTATTATTGGGTCCACTATACATAACCATCGCACTTCAGTTTTCGTTCACTTGATCCTTCTGTGTGTCATTTAGAAAAATTACCTCGCAATGAACTTTCTTTATATAGGAATTGTAGTAGTCATTTTCACATAACTCAGCACCGATATGTACACGTCACACCTAAAAACCGAATTGGTTGGAGTGTATAGAATGCAGAATTGTCGTGGATTCAGAGTTTCTCGTATTCGGCATTGGTAATTGTATGGTCATATAACCTAGTGTATCAAGAAATTCAGTAAATCTGTATACCATGTACGTTTTCTAATCCTGAGGACAACGAAAGTCATCGCTTTCGGTATGTAACTTTTGTTACTTTCTCTTAGCGCATATTATGGTTCATTCTAGGTGCATAGGAAATTCATGTTTTATAAACTAAAATCATTTACTAGGTTCAGGGTTAACATATTCAGCCTACAACTGCCTTGTTTAGTGGCTAGTTATAGCTTCCTGCTGTTCGATTAGCAGTAGAGTTTGAACCTTCAGTCTATTAGCAGTAATTAGGATATTTCAATTACTAAGCAATAGTCTCACTGTAATTCATATTACAGTTGTAAGCTAGTTTATCTATTTCTGTACTAGGTGATGAGACCTGTGCTACAATAAATGGGTCAAACTATTCACATAATTATTAATAAAAACTATGCAGATACAAGCTCATATTGTACCACGCCCAAATATCAGATATTGAAGCTTTTAATGAAATAGTAGTATTAGTATCAATTTTACGAGTTTTTCAAGTTCCACTTATCAACTGGTCCTCTTTCAATGGTTATTTCAGCCAAACTTTAGATGTTTTTGTAGGTCGATCGGAAGTCAAACGTTGAATTATGTCTTTCTTAAAGTTGGATAAGGTCCTCAGTTTTAAATGCCATTCGGAAAAAGATAATATCGAAATCCACTCATTAAATTTGACCAACCTGTAGGTTACAAAAAATAAAGAGCAAACTGTAAAGAATCAGAAGCTTATTACTGCTCGCTGCTTAGAGATCACCGCATTTAGATGTGTTCTTAGAAGTTGATTGAATCCTTAAAGATTTTCAAAACACAAAACTGTTACCTATCAATTCGTACATATGTTTTCTAATCGTAAACATAAATCAACTATATCGAAACGTTAGATATATAGCACAAAGTTCACAATTTGTGAGTAAAAATGTGGAGAGTTACAGTTTTGTTTCTCTGCGAAGTAGAAAAAAGAGTGCAACATGCATATGATTCCTAAGGAAGTAGAAAGGAAGCCGGATATTTTTTCAAGTCAGACTATCAGTTTTAACTTGTGCGTCTTTTATTTGTACTAGCGTTAGTATTCCTGTGAATGTATTTTTGTAAAGGTATGTTAGTGGATTATAGGTTTATGTAAATAGTTAAACTAACTATGATCAGTTGCTACTAATTCTTTTTTGAATAATAAGTAGCATCAATATTAATAATAATAGTGAAGTTTATATACATATATACTGTGATATACTTCCTGTGAATCTCATTATATTGGTGATGTTGAAGCATATTTTGATTTGTAAATTAATTATAACCAATAGAGAGATATATATCAGAAGAAATAAAGAGGAAAAGACTGAAAGGGTGTTTGTCTGCGTAAACAAATGGAAAGAAATGACCGTTTCGTTAATCAAGTAATTCTATCAGCATCATGGTTGTTTTCTTATCTCTTAGAATATTTCGGGATTCCTCATACATATAAAATTCACATTTGTAATTATTCGGTTGCAAAGTCGATTTTGCCAATATAAATGAGGGGTTACAAGTACACAAGCTTTAGGTCCTCTGTAATGTTTTTGTTTTTGTGACAGATAGTATTTACGTTTTATCTGTTTATTAGTTGGTGATCGCCATTTCGTATTGACAGGGTGTCCTTTATCCCATTTTGTAAAACCAACATGTTCGAAATTATGCCAAACCCATGGTCCGCGTGGTTGTGTTTGATGAAGACCTATAATTAAGAAAAAAAAGCTTGTAGTTTAGATTTGATCTCACTAGTATTTTATTGCATGTTTTTATATATCCATCGTATAAATACGGATTAGAAAATTTAAAATGGAAAACCATTGTCATTTGCTTTACATTGTAATCATCATTCAACTGGGTAACTTATTCGAAGTTTGTACTAATTACGATTCATGTCTTGTCTAAATTTACTAGTAATTTAGTTTATTTGCCGAGTACGGTTTCATATTTTAGGGTTTGAACTTTCCACTATTTTGTTCGACGTCTAGTGGTCCTATTTGGTTCCCCAGACCTCAGAAGTAGGTGGAACGTGGTTAGAATAGAGCACTCCAATCAAATTGAACATAATTTTTATCGAGAGTTTTATTAGGGATAAATTTCTTCGTAGGTGGTTTTTGTCTCGAATTACGGTTGCTCGAGAAATCGTTGAAAACGAGTGTTTACTGACTATTTATTCATAGGATATGACTTTTCAGCATTGTGCATCTATAACCTTGCAAGTGATTGAACTCATAAGCTTCACTTCTTGAAGCTAGCCCATCACATTTAGATTACTGAATTGGAAACATAGTCCACACCTTCAACTCAAGTCAGTTCAGAATGTACTGTGACTATCACTTAGTCTCCTTGACAGGAAACTGTTTCATTTGAAACATAGTTGAAACCCTACAAACTACTCGCTACTGACGGGTTTCGTACAGGGGCGAAACATCTGTCTATCGGTTCCTTGTATTCAATGAAATCCCAGCTGATTTTCTTAGTTAATGTTTTAACGACTGCTGTACAGCATAACTTCAATTCTCCCATGAATCTAACTTAAGAATAGTTTTGGATATATTACTGATTCAATTCGCATATGGAATTTGTGTTAAATTACCGGAAAAACGTTTAATTATACATTTCAGTCTTTCCTCAAATAATGCCATAGCAAAACTTACCTATCCAAAATGGTTTGCGTATTTGAAATATTTGAGCTAACCATTTCAAATTTGTCTCATCTGTAATACTAGTCAGAAATCCGTCTTGCAGTTCACAATAATTTCGTGCTTCTTCCCAAGTTATTTTCTTATTTTCATATAGTCGATAACAACGATGTTGATAAAATTTCCATCCTATGTTATGTATGTATTAATGAAAAATAGAACCATAGAATCAATTATTCTGATAGAATATTTCGAATCAAGATACTTTAAAACTTGATTTTTTGAGTTACTCAACAATTAGTAGGACCAGTAGAAGTTTAATAAGCTGACCCAACAGTACACTGGTATGATTCATGCATTTATTCATTCGAAACTGGTTTAGTTTAGGCGGTATTTTCTGGTGAAAGCCCAATGCTAACACGAATCAACAATGTAAAGTCGCTCGAAATTTGACGTCGGCGTACAGCTAAGATTTTATTTGATGAAGCATGTTTTTCTTTCACAATAAGGTCCAATAACAACATTCGAATATTTTATAGATTAGATGAATTACAGCTAGCAGTGATATCTAGAATGCGCGTCTTATCTTGTTTGGGACTCTAGCTGGATGTACCTCAATCCGTGTTAATGTTCACGTTGGTGATTGAAGCTAGTACTTTTTGGTCGGAAAGTGGCTATTTTGAGGAAATCCGAACACAATACACGTGTATCAACTGAGACTGATCAATTATTCAGTCAAGATTATCAAGTGGGATAAATCAAATAATTTCCACAACAGTATAAATTTATTTTGGAGCAGTTACATTTCGCCTAAATATATCAATATATTATGTTAACCTTACAATTACACCAAACAGGTAGTCCAAAAACCGTGGGGTAGGCTGGAAGAAGGGGCGTTAATTTACTGAACTAAATTTATACTACTCACTAAAGAACAGTAAATAATAAAATTTACTGACCATTTAAACAATGCATTATATGTTTATTTGAGTGCATATAGTTTTCATAGGATGCACTTAACGTTTTAGAATCTGGTAAATCATTTGTTGCAAGCCATTCGGTTAAACTAATATGATTTTTGATTGGATCACTTTCCATTCTGTATTGTTGATTTGACTGCCAATTAAAGTCTTTCAAATAATAATCTTCGTCGTGATTATCACTATTCATTTGTGCATCAGATAAGTAAATAGGATTTTTAGGCGTTTTATCCAGATTGGAATGAATGATACTTGTAAGATCTCGTTTTACTGGATTCTTGAGAGGAAGATAAAATAAACGAAAGGTGATTTAATAGTGCCAACAAAACGGGTTGATATAGTTTATATATATGCTAAAGTGATCGGCTTACAACCAATAAGTTTCAGGTCAAGGCCTCGATTCACTGTAGTTTGCATACTAAGACTAAACAGTTTTCAAGTTTATTCTGGTCGTTTTGTGGTTGTTTAAGTAAAGTCAGTCCGTGATGTACGGAAAACAAGTGGGTTAGACATGGGCAGTCGAAAAAGAGACCTGTACGTACGATGTATGCAATCGTTCGAAAAGGCATATATAAAGTTTTAAGCAGGCTATTTTCCACCTAAAATGTCATAAAAACCATTGTCATCTAGTTTTGCCACCAGTGACGCAACGACGGGGGCATTAGTATCGTGATAATTTTTTTAGAAGACTAAGTGGCTTATATACTAACAAATTGAGAGTTTAACTTGAAAAATTCAAGTATCTCCGAGTGGAAATCTGTATTGCAGTTCGGTTATAGAGAAATGATACGCAATAATATTCCAATAAATTTATCTTAAAAGACGAGAGTAACAAATATACTAGTAACACAGGATTAGATGCATGAATATTTGTGTGGCAAGTTTTTTATACAGCTGTTCAGTTGTTTGTAAAAGCTTTTGATTTTACTTATGTAATTTACATTGAGTAAGGGAATCATATCGTTCGTAGTTGAAAATTTAAGTCGCTGAGTTTAAACTGTGGTTTTCCGCATATAGCGAAACAGGGAGTTTCTGTATTTAGTTTTGTGTACGGTTGTAAGTGTTGATTTTTGAGTAGTTGTAAACTAGAATGAAATAATTGTTTAATGCTCTCTGGTTTAGAATAGTTTTCCAGCTGATATCAGTTAGCGATGAAAATCATCTTTAAACTATTCAATTCACGTTTTCCCGTCGTTAATATTAAGAACTGGATTTTCATCCTAATCACCTATATTAATAGAGACTGATCAATAGTTCACAATATCGACAATGGGAAAATGATTTTTTTTGAGACATTTATACTCGTTTAATAAGTTAGAAACCACTTGAACTCAGTAGATTTGTAGATAACGCATTTAGTTGAAAGACACTAGGTTGGATACACGGTATAAACGTTAATAACGGGATGCAGATACATCACATTAATATCCAAATAGAATTTGATGCAGATAATGGATTTCATTGATATCCATAATCAAGATCTATAGAAGAAATTCAGGGAGTTCTTTCTGATTGCAATCAAACAGTTGTACTATGATTTTTACAGAATAAATAATATTTTTGTTTTTGGAATATAAAGATTTAATATCAGAAGGGGTTTTGTGGAGATTGCAGTAATTTCAACAGTTGAGATCATGAGTCAATTGAAGCTAGACCACCATGGAAAACCTGGAAGCACTGGACGGCCGTCTCGTCCTATTGTGGGACTCCTCAGCAGTACTCATCCACGACCCCGCCTCGCGGGACTCGAACCTAGGATCTATCAGTCTCGCGCCAGGCGCGAAATGGCCGTCCAGTACTTTCAGGTTTTCCATGGTGGTCTAGCTTCAATTGACTCATGATCTCAACTGTTGAGATAAAGGTTTAAATCAAATTCCTATTCATAATCATACCGATTGGTTAAACTTCATATGGTTGTCTTCTCATGTGAGATCTAGATGTAAGATAATTTCGGGATTTTCGATTGAAATTCAAATTGCAAGGTTTATGAATCTTGGTGACACACATTACGACTTATACTTGATAATTTAATCATTCAACAAAAATAGTCTTATAAAGTGTAGAAAAATCAATTTAACCAGTCAAAATCTTTTTTTCTCGGTATAGTTCTTTAGTGGGTCGTTTTCAAATGTACAATCACATAAAATAGATGGGTTGCGCATGCGCGTATCATCTTATTTGAAACTCATCAACTGGATGTATCTGCCACATCCTAGCGTCGATATTCATATTGAAACTCAAAACTCTACTTTCCTCTTAGAACGTTCAATGTATTATTCATTAAACTAATTGTTAGGATAGTCAGAAAAATATACCAATAATTATCGTGTTAAGTCTATGGTGGCCTTGGACCTTAAATGGACATTTCCCATTGGTCGATGTTTATTTCACTTGTTAAATATTGTGTAAATGTTGTTTTCTATTTTATGGTACGATGTGGTTTGTTTGGTTAGTATATAAATAGAGTATGTCTGAAATACAATAATTCATAACTCAGAGGCTGTGACTTGTGTTCTTGACTGAACTGGCTAGGACAGACAGCGGAGCAGGGCCAATCAGGGCACTAGGTCGTCCTTACGTGTTTACGTGTCACTGTCACAGAAGCGATCGATAAATACGCTGCTTATCATAACCTGCAGTCTCACACGTTACAACACTAATAAGTCTGAATAACCGTCCGAACTTGTTCGAAGGGTGTAGTGTTTATGTTGTTATTGATCGGGTCCATTAAGGAGTTGGGCATATATATATATATATATATATATAACATACATGTATTTTTAAATCTATCACAGAAAAATACCACCTCACACTACTCTATAGCCTTTTGCGAATCGGGCTACCTGATTATTGTAAGTAAGGGTTTGAATTATCCCACATATGGTATTTGAGACATACAGTTACATTCGTTTACTGTACTACAATTGCAGAGATCTGTTAAATGTCAATAGTTTACTGAAAAATTGTTAAATTTAGCATGCTTCAGTTTATTTATTTAGTATGCGTTAGTATTAATTTGTATAACATTTAGATGATAAATTTAAGAAAATGTTTGGTTTCATTACTAACTGCTTACAAATATCATAGTATAGTACCATCTCGATATATTATGTAAAGGTACACAAACACTATTTACTTACATTCACTGTTTTAGTTGTTTCGTCTCCTAGTTTTATCGGTGTAAAGTAGGATTTTGATTGACACTTTCCATGGTTGTCTAAATAATGATAAATAACAGTTTAACGAATAAAATGAACAGACAGTATATACATGAATAAAAAATGAACGAATTAATACAATAAAGATAGGTGTAGGTAAAGTTTCAAGATGATTTTCTAAAAATCACAATCTGGTAATGGTTAAAAGAGAAAACTGGTAGCCCAAACAGGATGGGGGTCTGTTGAATAATTATCTTACCCTAACTTGATTCTGCAGACTGAAATGTCAGTGCATACTAAGAATGTTTCTCAATAAATATACAAACGTCATGTTACTCAACTAATAACAATAGTCATCTACTTTGATGTTAATTTTTGTGTAATTTTAGTAAGCAGCCATGACTGATAAAGTTAACATTAAGACAGTAAGTAACTTACCAAAGTGATCTGATAAGCACTGCTTAAATTGATTGGAGTTCGCGTGAAGTACGAAATTGATTTTCTTTAACCACTCATAACATATAATCACATTTTAAGAAAGAATAATTACATAACAGTCATTTTAAGTCAGAGTAATCTTTCCTAAGTACAATAAACCTTGCATTCATTGTAAATCTTGTTCAGTTTGAAGTGGTATATTCATTTTGCGTTAATTATGTGTAATATTCATTTTTCTGTTTACCCTATATTGGTTACATGTCATATTCGTTAATCAGTCATCGAATGTAATATCAATGTATAAAGAAGTAAATTTTGATGAAATGATTGTCATTGGGTTTTTTTTCCGGAGAATGAATAAAATCTACTAATACCATCAGTTTTATCTTTTTATCTTTTGTGAATCGTACAGTTCCCTTCACCTGATGTTGTTTTACTTGTATCTTACCATTGTTATTTAGGGCTGGAATTAATCAGTCTCATGTTGGCATATGTGCATACTGTGAGGATTGTCTCGATATATCCTTAAGTCACAAGCATTATATCGAAGGATATCCATTTTCAACTTCTAAGTTGAATTTTATCGTTGGATGGCAATTATTAAATATCTTCAGAAGATGACTCAAGTCATATTTGTTGTCACAAATGATAAAGAATCATCTACTTATCCCTTATACAAGTGAATTTTTTCTACAGTCACTTTGAGTTGATTGTTTTCTAAACTGGCCGTGAAGCAATCTGTATGTAATGGACAAAGAGGGGATTCCATTGCTATGCCGTCCTTCTGTCTATAAGTTACTTCGTTGAACGTAAACTGTACATTGCAAGTGCACCGCCGTAATAATTCATTTATTTGAAGGAACTATCAACATGCCTAATATAAGTTTATTATTAGTATTATTATCATCATCCTGTTAAAATAATTATATATATTTGCGATTGTACAGCTTTGAAAATGAATTCGCCGAAAAGAGAACTCTTCACTGAACTAATTTTTCTTAATTAAAATATTGTCTTGTTTATAGTATCAATGAGCAATATTTTATCATAGAGAAACTTATTCATCATTACAATCATTTCTATGATTTGTCTAAATGTTTATATTATGTAACAGATGGATACTTAATGTTATGAAATCTATTTGAATAGATGTAAATGTAAACAATTCTGTTGTTGGGCAGAAGTTTCTAGTCTTAAAATATAACCTGAAACTTGATTAGTATTTCTAATGAAAAATAAATCTGGTTAGAACTATTTCTTCAGGATTATAGAATGTACTAAAATTTTGTATATATATATAAACTTACTAGATACAACAACTTCAGCTTTATATTTTCGATCTAGAATAGCTCCAGTTGGTGATTTAAGATCAACATGAAATCGTAAATTCTGATGGTTGAAATCTCTTGTGGTTGGATGGAAACTTATTAATACGTCTTTTTTTACTTCACCTGAATAAAAGGAATAATGTTATCAACATTTGAAACGTTAAAATAATATATATATATATATATATATATATATATATATATATATATATATATATATATATATATATATATATATATATATCAGAAGAGGGTTTTGTGGAGGTTTTAGTAACTTGATAGTTGAATTCATGAGTCAATTGAAGCTAGATCACCATAGAAACCCTGGAAGCACTAGGCGGCCGTCTCGTCCCAGTATGGAACTCCTCAACAGTGCACATCCACAATCACGCCCACAGGATTCGAACCCATAATCTGTCGGTCTCGAGAGCAAACATTTAACCTCTAGACCATTGAGCTGGCATCCAACGCTGTTAACGTCTAACTTCAACGAAATTGCGCCATGGCCTTCAGTGCTTCCAGGTTTTCCATGGTGGCCTAGCTTCAATTGACTCATGAATTCAACTATTATAATGATTTTGTTAAAATAATTAAACGTAATAGAGGGGCAAAGATGAAATGAAGTGATCTGCAAAATAAATTATGAATCAAATCATGAGGATAAGAAACATAATTAAAGAAAGAGGGGGATATTTTCAAATACGAATTGAAATAATAATAAAAACAATAATGGTAACAATATTAGTTTAACGTCAAGGTAACGATAACGATAAGACGTAGTTATTTTTGCATGCACAGTTTTGACTTCAACTCATACATGGTAAGAACTTCTGTTGTTTTAAGGAGTTGGATATGAATAAATCTAGGTCTATTTGGACGAATTATATAAACGATTTAAAAATCGACTTGTGAATCAGCAGAGTGATTAGAGTCGATTAAATATTCAGGAATGGAACTTCCAACTGCTTTCCTCTCACTTTTGTAGCATCACACTGGGACATGTTCTCGTATCCGAGTTGAAAGCGAGCGCTGGCTACTGCCAGTGTACTTTGTTCCACAAGAGCAGGTGAACTAGTAGATGCACATGGAGGCAACCAGATGAGGAAACTTGTCTTTTACAGATACAGAAAACAGGTTCCTACAAGTGAACGTTATTTGCTCCTTTTCTACACAGAACGTTCTTTTTACCATTGCCGTTAACCGATTTTAAATTACATCAGTAGTTGAGTCACTTTTAAACTCCAGATTCACATAAAGGTATTTCTTTGAAACGGAATTAGCGGATTTCTTGTCCTTACTTTTTTTCATCTTCTCTATGAAGCGTCTTAGATAGCCGTTTTCAGCTAAAGTTTTCCTGACGAATGCGAGTTTATCGTCAATGCATTCAGTACTACATATCTAATGCATTTGATAACATAAAGAGTGAACAAGATTCCGCTTTACCCTAATGGAACCCAGCTATATTATATATATATACGATCTGTAGATAAACTTGAATCCCGAAATTCGTCTAAGGATAAGATAACTGAGCTGAAAAGTAATTTGTAAAAGGTTCACTTAACTAATCATTCAACCTTCAATTAGCCTACCATCTGTAGAATACAAATTAATTAATCTTATCCTAAGATCATAACATAACAACATGTAAATAAAGTTTGAATTCATAAAATCTCAATCATTAATTTAATATGCGCATGCTTCATATAACTATTAAAATCTCAATATTTGACCTAACGTTAAATGAGCAGTCATATTTAACATTTATTTGTGTTTAGTTCAGTTCATTTGTTACTAGTGTATCAAAAATCTTTTGTCATAATATCAGAGCCAATAATAATGAGATGTTTTAGTCAGTCAGCAACAACGTAGAACTTTGTACGTATGTACGTACGTACATCCGTTCAAGTTGCCATACCACATTAGCACAGAGATACAACTGTCGATCCGAAGCCCATAGTGGTAGAGGTAGTTAAAGTATAAACAATAATCAGAAAGATTACAGTTTGATGATGTTATTCAAGGAATATAATCCAGTGAAATATGTTTGGATAGTAAGGAAAAGTGACATGAAGAATTCAGATGTTTCAAACAACAACAAAAAAGCCATAATGTTTACTCATTCTTTACATTAATTTACTTTGTAATGAATACTGTTTTTTCAGAATTGATCAGTCATACGGGATCATTTTTAAGTGATCTCGTGGAATTCGTATTCAGATACTTTTTCCCATTTGACGATTATCATGTATATTCAAGTCAATAGCCTTTTTATTATACATAGTTTAAATAAACTATTCTTATTATTGGTATGATAAGGCTTTTTATTCTCTCAATTCCTACTAAACGTCCCTTTCATATGGAAACCATACATAACTTTGAATGATGTATATGGAATCACAGAAATGGATATTATATCAAAAATCATGTAAATAAAGGTCGAGAACATTCACAATTCAGAGATAAGTTATATACATTGAACAAGATTAAGATGATTATTGTAATTCAACGTTTATGGTTCTCATCAATTTTTAGTGATAGTCATTATTTTCACATTCACTTGGAACCATAAACCATTAATTTTAATACATCAAAATTATGAATATAGGTAATACGTAAATTAGTTCTTGAAAATTAAGTTCAAATTATATATGCTACTCATTTTCATATTTATGCATATAAATACCTTTATGAAAAACGACTAGTTTTTGTGAATGTAGACTGAAATCTTTTCCTTCAATCGCTGTATCAGATGATAATCCAACGTAGACATCAGTTAAAGTTGATTGTAACGCCTGATTTGTACCTTTTCGTATCACGGTTAATGTTAGAATACCTCTTTCTGGACAGATTGTATACACTTTATGATCAAAGCCAAGAGTAATCCAACTTAATTCCAGACTGGAAGGAATGAGAAAAGTAAATACAATTGTTAATGATACAATACTGTAGGTATTGTTAATAATAACACTGGAAATTAGATAATTGAGGGGAATTTACGAAAGTCTCCTTCAAGCAAATCCTTATATTCAGTATCTTCTGACTCTGTCTTATTGGAATTTAAATCGAATTCGATTAGATCTAGAACTAACTGAAAATTCTGAAGTAGCACTATGACATATAATACTTGATCATGACATACTGATCAGAAGTCAAAGATAGCAACCACGATTACGCAGCACTTTTGACTGTAGCTCGAAGCCTCTTAGTATAACAGTATTGTGTTACTGTCAAGTTAAACGACTTTACGTCTGGATTGCTCAACGTAATTCTTTTACCGCTAGACAAAGATTAGATTTACCGTTGTTTGACATATAGCTGTGATCAGTGTCAATTTTTCAGTGCTGATTTGGAGTATTAGTTTCATCAAAACTACACGTAAATCTTGCTGACGATTTCTAATATCAGGGGTTTATGTCAACTACCTCCAATAACTTTACAGAATGAAATCATATTTGAGAAACTAGGGTACTGTGTTTTGTTTTACCTCGAGAAACCAATTCAAGATCTAGCCAATGACATAGTTTATCTATGTAGATTTGAAATGTGCGTTTTTTTTCACAGGGAGTTTCTAATAATATCGTTGTCCGGTTCAGCTCATACTGAAAATAAATGATAGTATCTATTTCCTTAAGAGTATTTTAACGAATTTCTACTGATCAAATCGTTGGTAAATGAGTCCAGTCGATTAACGTTTAATTTATTGAATGTTATATTCTAAGTAATTGGATTCCATTTAAATGAAGAGTGTGTTCATTTAAATCAGATTTCTCAATCCATTTCATTGTAATAATTTCTGTAGTTAGAAGTCAGCAATATTCAATAGGTATCCCTACATTATTCTCATCCTATTAACTGTCTTGATATAAATGAATTTACTATGTCTCGTTTATTATTCCAGAAAAGAATGAACTTTACGTTGAATTTTTCTGAAGGCAAGCAATGGTCTGAGATATAATAAACAACTTGTTTTTTCAAGCGAGTAATTCTCATATATATGTATTACTAGTATAGTCAGGTTCTAGTTTTATCCTTTAGAGTGGCCTTATATCTGGCTCCGGTTATATTATATGAATGGGTGCTGTCAAAATATATATATCGCCAATCATTGTATATCTTTATTGACTTAATCCACGTTAGTGAATAACGGAATTCAATAAGTCAAATCCGAGAATGCATTTCGAATACATATATTTCATATAATCATTGATCCAGACAAACGATCAGGGAAATGAAGCGAAGAAAAGAGAACGAAGTGAAAAAAGGCGCCGTGGAGAAGGATGTAAGCCAATTCTATTTAATCAAGCATTAGTCAATATTTATAAACACAAAAATAAGCTATAGACATGTGATGAATAAGATAAGAAGTGTACACACGTATACGTTCATATAAAAGCAGTCAGGGTTGACAAGTCAATAATTAACAAAGTCAAAACTTGACTCAAGAGGAATGGATAAATCGGTCTGTCTAGAAGCTGGAATAATTTATATGAACTTAACATAGTAACCGATATTACAATCCAACTGATTGAAAGACTAAGTAACTGAAAATAGCTTAAATTATGTATATTTACAATTAGATTGTATTTTCGTCAACGATTATTATAGAAAAATATCAAAATAAATGATCATTTATCTAATATTTGTTAACTCCATGAGTTCTAATCACTATTTCAATGTTCTGGAACTTTCCCACCCAAACTTTATTTATTAGAAACAAAATTTTTTATGACCTCATTAACTCTATCGGAATCTTCGCCACATCCTTAATTACCTTCTTATGTATGTCAATACCTATAATAACGTTGATTTTCAAATATTTTAGGTTATAAGAAGCTGATGAGAACATAATAAAATAAAATGAATTCATATTATTCTGTACCAATCTTTGTTCTTGCTTTATTTAAGATAATAAAGGGAACTATGTGTATGTATTTTATTTTTGTACTGACTATTTGAATCGAAGTGAACATCAACTCTGAGATGCAGGTACATCTAGCTGACGAGTTTTAAATAGAACGAAATACGCATTCTGAATTCCACTGCTAGCTACTATCATCTCTACTTAAATTATAAATAGGAAATGCTTTTTTTAGACTCAAGCAAGTAAAATGAATTGAGTGCAACTAATCTGTCAACATAATTTTGAATGGCATAGGTTTTTTTATAACTTCTCACAGGACGACTATATATATATTTTTTCCTCTTCAATCTTTTTCTCAAAATCTATACAGAATATTATAACCATAATTTTAAGGTATCCTTCTGTTGGGGACGTTAGATCCCCAGAACTCACGTGGAAAAGGACCTAATTTTGTAATTTTATTTAGAAAATTTGAATTTCTTTGTTTTCGCGCCAAAAGCGCTCTTTTCATCTTCATGTCGTATTTCCCACTTGGGAGAATCTTAAATGCTGTTGTGTCTCTTAGTATGCTATTTTATAATTCTCCCCAAGGACAGTTTTTTGCTGTATATATACGTTTTGATTTGTGTCCGTTGTTATTGTTCGTGCTTCTAGCTTTTGTGAATTATACTTCCCCATTTCAAGCTTGAATTTCTTTCTCTAGTTAACGGGGCTAGGACGCATCGAATAGCTAGCTTATTGATCTTCGTTCACCGAGTCTTTGTTCTGTTCACAGATTAAGTGAACTCGTAACCGCTTCAAACCTAACGCTTTCTTTATTAATAACCTATTAAATAGTATTGTAATCAAAAATATAGAATAGACAAACTTACCTATATATTTTTCGTTCAATTGATTGATTTACATTTTGAATTTCATATTGAATCTCACACACTGTATCGTTTGATAAAGATGATGATGATGATGATGATGATGAAGATGACAATGATGACTTTTTCCTTGATTTTTTAAATCTTTTTTTATCTTTTAATAAAATAACTACTAATTTACGTCGATTTAAATCATTTTGATAAAAATCATCATGAATTGATTTATTTTCAATTTTATTAAATAATTCACAATTCATTTTTTCATAATTCAATAATTTAAATTGTAACCATGGATTTAATGTATAAATATTTTCACTACTTAAATAAAATCCTACATAACCTGGAAGAATAGTTTCTAAGGTATCAGGTTTTGGAGCATTATTAATTAATAAATGATTATTATTATTATTTAAATGTTTCAATTGTTTATATCGTATGTTAAATTTAAGCGGTTCATTTGATTGAATCATTTTTGTATTATTCTGTTTTATAATATAATTCATTCTTTCAATAAATGGATGAAAATGTTCTTGATTATTTGTTTTATTTATTAAATGATATTCTAATAATATATTATTACATAATTGATTAAAATCAATAATTTGTCCAATATCACCAGCATCAAATATCAATAAATCAATTGAAAATGATTGATTTTTCATTGAATATGAACTAAATAATATTTGATTTGAATTAATTTGTGATTGTGTAAAACATTGAATTGTTTCATTATTATTATTATTATTAATGAATCGACCATATTGTTTATATTGTTCATTATATTTTAATATAATATAAATTAAATAATTAGGATTAGTATCTTTATCTTTAATAGATAAATGATTAGTTTTAATTAATGTATCTGTATATGGTAAAATTAATAAATCAGAAAATTGTTCTAATTCAGGTAATAAATGATGATTATTTTTTTGTATTGATATTATTATTGATTTTTGACTTAAATAATCACCGTATGAATTGATTAATTGAAAATCGATTTGAAATTGTTTATTTAAATAATTTTCACAATTTATAGCATAAAAAACAATTTGATGATTTTGTACTTCATTCTTAGTGAATTTTATAATATTTTTTAATGGATTTGATATATGTGATATTAATCCACATGGAAACAATGAACTATTGTCATTTAAATGAAATGTTATTTCGATTTGATTATGATTCAATTTGTCCGGTTGAATGTCTTTATATTGGATAAATGTGAATCTGTTGATTGTAGCCATTAGTATAACAGTGTTAAACGAATCTAATATAGTGTCTGAAGCATCATTTTGATGCATTTGATTTCCTTCTCTGTCATCTGTAATGAAACGGAAAGATTTTGGAATATAAAGTTGAGTTACTTATAAGTAACTAAAATGAAATGATGAAAAAATACTCTCCGCTATATGAGCTTGTTCTTTCAAATTTAATTTGATTTTCTCGATCCTACGAAGCTAGTTTATACAAATGTGTTATCAGATAAGCCTAATTGCTTGTCAGGTTTGAGACCGAGAGTAAAAATTATTTTGATAAGATGTTGTGGAGAATGTTGAACCCAAACTTGCGAATTACAGACTGATTTTTGGTTAGACAATAGTTGAAAACCAGCAAGGATTGAATAGTTGTTTCGTCCAAGTCTGAAACTTACAGTATTGCGCACCCAAGATTAAACCTTTAATTGAACACATAAATTTAGGGTTTCTTGACGAGCATTTGACTTTTAGACGACTAAGTTGGAATTCAATGGTTTACATTTCTAATTTCAATCACTTCGCAATTTCGTATGACGATCATTCATTTCAAAAACCTGTCCGTGATACGGAACTTGAAATAGATTTCCAGGTTTGTTTTCGGGTGTTATAAAGGAAGTAGGTCATTATTAGAGCTTGTCTTTGGTTTAGATTTACAATATTAACTGAAAATTGCTCAACATAATTCAATTGAGAGTGACGTTAAGTTACTAAATGATTACAGTAAGAACTACTTTTTCAGGAGATAGAACACTTCATAACTGAGGATATGCGTTCACAGGTGGTATTGAAAGGGTACCTTATCAATACAAATTAACAGGATGTAGGAAATATCACTCATTTGATTTCAACATAGTGGTTTATCTGCAACATGGTCTTTACATATGATGAAAACATTAAGTAAAATCATGAAGAGAAGTTAAATATGAAAATCGTTAGATTATCATCCAGAAGCTCATAGACGTCAGTAGTTCTTCAGCGAAATGATAAAACAATAGTCTCTTACCAAGTTTTCTAAGGAAAAGCGGAAGACATTAGAACATAACAAATACTTAGCGTCGAACAATAGTTTGTAATCGTTTGCTATATTGACATTGGTTTAATATGTTAGGACTTACATATATTATGTTGATTTCAGTGGATTTAACCAACAAACTTCCATAAAGTAGGATAATTTTTGGTAGCATATTCAAGTGGCTTACGTTAAGTTTGCCTGGTTATAAAAAAACTGGAAAGCACCGGAATGGATCGACATATTGCTGAGTCTATAAGCCAGTAATGAAGCAACATACGAGGCACTATAAAAGTCAACAACGAGTGTGGATATTTTATTAATAAGTTATTAACTTCTAAAAGATTTTAAAAAGACTACCTTGCTTTTTTAGTTCTTTTGCGTCAACATTTTACACTTCATCACAGAAGCTAATGAGAAAACTCAAAAAGGAGACGATGAACAATCCGATTTTAATTTTTCGCTGTTTATTCTTCATCATTAGTAAGCTATAGATTTCAGTCATAGGAAATTTATCTTGATGATACATTAGGCCAACCAGACAGGTTAAATGATAAACACATGCTATTCGCAAAGATCTGACTTCACTTACTAAGGAAAGAAGGATACACTCACTAATGGTTAATAACGTGGCATAATTTTGTTAATAAGCTATTATGGACTGTTGATTTAATTTTCACAATAATGCTTCCTTCTCACTCAAGTAACTGATTGATATAGGAAGCTTTTATTTCAGTAACAGAATCGGGCATTCGCACAACACTACAATTGACTGTTTTTACACTCATTGTATCCATAAATACTCACTTTTACGAATTCTTTCAGTAATTACTTAATTATTTTTTACTTTCTGATGATAATATGATTTCATTTTCTATAGTGTATATTCCAATAGTTCATTGAATATAATAAAATAAATATTTACTTACTCTCTTCAGTGATTGTACTTTTCATCTCTGGATATTCTAATGGACGTAAAGTTTGTAGATTAGTAATAGGAAGGTAAGGCAATGATGAATGACTTAATCCCCCATTGGTTCCATCCACTCGACGTATACGGAAACGTAAAGTAATAGGATCAGTTGAATATTGTCCATCAGATAAACGAAGTACACATGAATCAGTAAGATATTGTTCTTGATAAGGACCTGTGTAAAGGTAACTATAAGTATAAATAAAATAGGTAGAATATGAAATGATAAAGGAGTGATTTCATTTTTAAGAATTACTGATGTGAGAGTTTAGAAAAGATAATGTTTATCAATTATTTCAATCAGTGAGTGTACAACACTGTTTCTTTGATTTTTCGAGTTATTACTCAGCCAGTCAAACAACGTAGAACCTGGTACAATGTGTACATCGGTTCATGTTTCCATACTCCATTAGCATAGTGAGATGAGATTGTAAGAGAAAATCTTATAGTAGTGAACGATTATTAAATCTACTGGTTGGTTAGACTATTAGTTGATGAGTATTCGAAATCATCAGGATCAGAGTTTACTATAGATTTATCTCCAAAGATACAGACAAAAGTTAGGTTCATGTAGGAAAAGTGACTAAATAACCATAATTCAGTGGATGTATCGTCAAATGAGAGGGTTGATTTGATTAATCAAGAAATAAATAAGAACTAATATATTTGAAAATGGCAATTTATATTCTAAAAGATAAATGTCTCTAGTATTTATTAGTCAGAATAGATGATCTATCGATGGCTTACCCAATTTTCAGTTCTATGTAAATATTATCTCACCTTGAAGGTAACAAGTGTGGATAATTTTACTATCTAGTCTGTAACAGAGGCTATAGAAAAAGTGAACCTTTCAAAATTAAATGATTTAATCATTGTTTCTCATTATTCATAAAATGTCATCTCAGATGGGAAATATTAATATCAAAACTACATTTCAGTATACAGAATGTTAATTTAAAATCATTTCATTACGGAAGGTAAGATATTACAAAATAGATGATATAACTCAATGTTTTCTTGTACAAGGGAACTTACAAATCCCTTTTAATAGGGTGAATAATCATGTCTACATTGAATGAACAATTAATTACATTTTATGTGTAACATAGACTCCTCAACATTGCTCATTCACGAGCTCACTGGTAATCGAACCCAGGACTATCAGATATCGCTACGAGCACCTAACATTTATACTACTGGATTGCCATTCGATGGTTTATATTGTTTTAACGTTAATTAGTTTGTGATTTTTGCAATCATATTTCCATACTATTGCTGGATCATCACTTCACTTGATCTGTTATTCTTTGAACTATCTGATTGACTATATTTATGTCGTCATGTTTATTCAGTTTAAAGTTTATGAATTTTTTGTAGTCTACTCCATAAAAAGTTTTAATTCACTGGTGGAATTCAAGACTGTCATTTTTACAAAAAATTACAGTTTATAGCATTTAGCTTGACAATAAAAGTGACGAGCTGTAAGTTTATTAAGCTAAGAAATTAGTCAGGAAATTTTCTTTTATAAAATTAACATTAGTTACATTAAGCATAGATGGCTAGTGGCTAGAAGTGATATCCAAAATGCGCGTTTCGTCCTATTTGAGACTCGTCAGCTGGATGCACCTGCTATCAGGACTCAACAACTAAGTGGATAAAGCGATGACGTTTGAAGCGAACGGTACTGGGTTCGAGTCTCAGAGTGAACAATGACTCGGGGATGCAGATACATCCGGCTGACGAGTTCCAAATGGGACGAAACACACGTCTTGTATTCCACTGCTAACCGCTATCCATCTTTGTTTATAATACTTGGGAATTAAGGCTATGACGAGGCAATCCGCACTGAATACATAAATGCCGAAATTAGACTCGTCAATTGCAGTCCTAAATAACAATGGGAAGATACAAGTAAACAATATGAAGTGAATTTAACTAGTTATATTAGTCACATTAATGGTATATATTAATAATATCAGAATGGGTTTTGTGGAGATTTTTAGAAATTTCACAGGTTGACACCATGAGTCAGTTGAAGCTAGACCACCATGGAAAACATGGAAGCACTGAACGACCGTTTCGTCCTAGTATTGGACTCCTCAGCCGGCTCAGTGGTCTAATGGTTAAGTGCTCGCGCGCGAAACCAGAAGGTCCTGGGTTCGAATCCCGCGGGGTGCGGAGTCGTGGATGCGCACTGCTGAGGAGCCCCATACTAGGACGAAACGGCCGTCCAGTGCTTCCAGATTTTACATAGTGGTCTAACTTCAACTGACTCATGATGTCAACCTGTGATATATTAATAAATTAAAGAATTTAAAACATAATACTTACTGAATTCGACCAGTAGTCATTTGACGTTTTGTAAATTGATCACCACGATCTAAAATTTTAATTGTTTTCGGTCCACCAATACTTCCTGCAATTGATAATTGTGCTAATGATTGTAAATCATTACCAGCTTTCATTTCTTCAATATCCCATGCTTCTTCAATTAAATCTAAATTATCTATTATACCATCTTTTGATAACATACGTGGTAAACGTTGAATAATACCATATTTTGGTTTTTCTAATATTATTATAATTAAATCATCTTCTGATGTATCAATATCATTTATAATAAGACCATTAGGTTTACTATCTAATCTTGTCCATTTTTGACCATCTAATATAATTCCATTATTATTATTATTATTATTATTATTATTATTATTATTATTATTATCGATATACATTTCTGGTGGATATTGATTTATTGGTCTAATTAATACATAAGCTTCTTTTTCAACAATATGTTTACCATCGGTTACAACAACAGTAAATTGATCCATAATTATCATTGATGAATTAGATGATTGATTAATTATTGATTGATTAATTAATGAACTATTTTGTATATAAATTAAATTTAACATACCTAAATAAGATTCAGTAATTGGATTACTATATTGTGTTATTATATATTTTTCACCATGTTGCCAATAAATTAATAAATAACCATAAATTGGTAATTTAATAAAACGTATTTGTAATATATCTCTTGGTATATCCATATCATTCACATGAAATAAATATGGAGTTAATACTTTTCTTGTATTTAATATACATGAAAAATATTTTAATAAACGTACATTTGGTATTTCATCATTTATTGGTTGTATAGCTATTTTAATTTCAATAATATTAATAGAATAATAATGACCATCATATGCTTTAATACTAAATAGATCTTCAATAGATTCTTGTCCATTTTGATGTATTGAATTAATATAATAAATTAAACCATCACGTATATTTTTCATATTAAAATTTAATATATTTTGTTTATATTGATTATTGATTAATTGAATATGATTTGATTGATTATATTGTTGATTAGATATTGATTTTTTATTAATGAGTTCAATATGACCCCATTTTGGTGGATGTATTATATGTAATTGTATATCATATTCATTTGTATCTGGATCAGTAGCATATAATGTATATGGAGTAATTTCAACTTTATCACCTTCTTTAACCTATTAAAATAAAATGAACTTTAAATTATGAAATAATAATAATAAATTTATTTTTTAACTTTAACCAATCTATGAAATTGCGCCACCGTACATCACTGTAAGTCAGTGAGATGATATCTCACAACAAACCTGGTTGAACTCCACTGGTTATGGCTTCTTGCTAGAACTTCAGGAAATGCTTCTTGAAGTCAGTCACTAGTGAGCAGATGATTATTATTAGAAGAGATGTTGTGAAGATTTTAGTAATTTCAATAGTACACTTCTGAGGAGTACCACGATAAGACGAAATGACCGTCCAGTGTTTTCAGGTTTTCCATAATGGTCTAGCTTCATGATTAACTCATGATTTCAACTATTGACATTACTAAAATCACCACAAAACCCCCTCTGATAATAAATTTATTTTGTTTTTTTAAACCACTTTCTACTATTAAAGAGGGAGAATGTATTTGTAAAATCCCAGCGAAAAAATTTGAAGTAAATCCAACGTTTCGCCTGGCGATCTGGTTCAAGCTTTTTCAAGGAAAATAACACCTATTTCAGCTGGACCATGACGATAACTTAAACGATTTTCTAAAATATCTTTATATGCAAATTGTGACATTTTATTTTTGTGATCTATTGATAAATTGCATTTTCACAGATTGAAATCATGAGTCAATTGAAGCTAGGTCACCATGGAAAACTTGAAAGCACTGGATGGCCGTTTCGTCCTAGTACGGGACTCCTCGGCAGTGCGCATCCACGATCCCGACCCTGACGAGACTCAAACCCAAGATCTATCATTCTCGCGCCAGGCGCTTAACCAAATAGACCACTGAGCTGGCATCCATTAGCGTTAATGTCTAACTTCAACTAATCCACGAAGTTGAGCCACCGTACACCATTGTCTTCAGTGAGCTGATATCTCACAACCGACCTGGTTGAACTCCACAGGTAACGGCTTCTCACAAGAACTGCAGGAGTATCTCTTGAAATCAGTCACTAGTGAGCAGATGATTATTATCAGAAGGGGTTTTTGGAGATTTTAGAAATACAATAACAAAGTATTGTGTATTTTTCACTATGTAGTTTGAGCTACTTATATATCTATATAAGTAGTATATACGATGATTAAAAGTAGAATGTATTTTAATAAAAGATTAAGGAAAAAACAGAAACGGGAAATGATGGAACAATGAAATCTGAGACGATGGACTGATATTTGCAAAAGAAACAGTGAAATTTTAAACAATTAATTGATATTTTGCAAATTGATTATTTACTGTATGGCTTTTAGATTTTAGTAAGACGTTCTGTAAGTTTGTGTTCAAATATATATTCGATTATCCCCACTTGTGTTTTTTGTTCTCTACAACTAGAAATGATGTAAATTTTAGAATGTTTTAGTAAGAATGTACCCAAAAATATCCCATCTCAAAGTGTAGAAGTTACTAATTGAGAATATATTCATAATTGATTGATCACTAGGTGATGATCAATGTCATGTATGTTAGGTTCTTCTTAGTGTAGATCGAATGCGATCGACTAAGTTCTAATGTAGCCATTAGTCTAGATGACTCGACATTGCGCATGCACTTTGTTAAGATAAGATGGTGGTGACGAGTGTCAAATAGTTATATTCGACCATCATCTTATTGAGAATATATATCACGATAAACTAATGTTAAAGTCAGACGTTTGATAAAATGTATTTGGCGCCATTAAGTAGTTGTATTTTGTTTGACCAACTGTCAAATTGAAAGTAATATTTGAAAAAAAGTAAAAGCACAACTGACCAATTCTATATGACATTCACTGGAGATGGCCAATTGATATAAGTTTATAACTGAATACATCTTTCAGACAAATCAAATTTTCAAAATAATTAATCATGATTAATAGCTCGTCGAAATAATTTGCCTGTATGCTAAAGTTGCATGTACTGGTTAGTCACTTCGACTGAGATAAATCTTTGAAATAGTTATACTTGTTTAGTTTCAGTCATTTATCGTGAAAATAAAACAACATTTCATCATGATATGAAATAATTGTAATATCTTTAACATTTTTTTCAGGTTGCTTATGTATACTACTATAAAATGAGCCAAATAAGTAGCTTACAAAGTGTTTCGAAAAACGAGAATCGGTATATATATATATATATATATATATATATATATATATGTATACCAAGAAAACTAACCTGTAATAAGGTCTCACTTCTTAATACTGGTGGTTGACTGTTCACTGGCATTATTGTGAAATTTAAACTGAATGTTTCACCAGCATTGAAATCCCATATTCTTGCAAAATCATAAACACTTTTAACACCTATTTCAGCTGGACCATGACGATAACTTAAACGATTTTCTAAAATATCTTTATATGTAAATTGTGACACTTTGTTTTTGTGATCTATTAATAAATTGCCTTTTGTTGGAAATACAATAACAAAGTATTGTGGTGCAGTGGAAATAGCTGAAATATCAGTTGGCGAAGCATTCATATCAGTTGTATCCATTGGGAAAACTGATGGTGTAAGTGTTACACTTGAATTCTCTTTCACTAATATTGTATTGTTGACCAATTGATGCCATTTATTGCCTTGTAATATTCTTGGTTTAATTTCTATTGGTACTTCTAATGGCGTTGATGTTTGAATACCATCGGTTATTGTTAGAATGAAATCATCTTGTTTAACATTTTCACCAGATTGTTGATAACTTGATGATTGTTTTATGGTGAGACAACAAAAAAAAGAAGCAGGACAAAATACACATTAACTGTAAATGAATGTTACAGTGGGAATTTAATCTGATTAGTTATCAGTGTATAACATAACACATGATGTACCAAATTGTCATGGATATTTCTTGAGTTAGGAATTTTTTATTCTACAATCGACTGATCGCTGAGTGATAGTCAGTATGATTTTTATATTATATTGAAGGGTTATTGAAATTTGGTCGATCAAGTTGTAATATACGTAACTAATCTAAGTGACTTAAAATTGTATGGGCAATATTTCTATATTATGTGGTTGAAGATAGTTTGCAGGAAATTCTCGTTCCAGAACTAACTGACTTTATCCTCTTCCTGAGTTTCCTGTCGACCATCTTTGACAACGTAACATTTTTCATTCTATTTAATTTTAATCAATTAGAATTATTTGTTTAATCAAATCTAATAGTCTAGTTTATTTATATTAGTATTTTAAAATCGGGAAGAGAACTAATTGCAATAATCTATGTAAAAGATGATGTTTTAGAAATTCCTATGTCATCGCGGATTTTTTCGAAACAGTTATACCCGTTGAACAAGTAAGCGTCTGTCTAGAACCACTAACTCAGTAGATATCTTATTAGTGTTTGAAGTTGCAGATACTGAGTTTGAGTCTCCATTTAAATATCAACACTGGAATACAGGTAAATTCAGTTGACGAGTCGCAGATAAGAGAAAACCTACATCCTGCATGCCAATATTATCTCTAATTCATCTATTTAATAGAAAATCTGTCTATAAAACAGAAATCATTTCATTAAGCGTTTTATAATGTTAACAATACACTTGTGTGTATATTTACAAATGACTAGTATGGTGGCAGTACATGTGAATTATTTTCTCAGTAGTTATGTAAATAAATAAACTTAATAATCAGTAAATAAATAAATAAATTGATTTATTTGTCGGATAATCTAATCTGACCTTACAGTTATGATACATAAACAGAGCCAGTTGTTATTACACAATCATTACTATTGCTGTTATTATCATTGATCTTACCATTCTTATTATTATTATTACTATTATCATTATTATTATTATTGTAGCCGAAATTCCGTAACGTTTGAAATTTATATCAGGAAAACACTTGGCAACATAAGTGATATGATTATTACAAATTAGAGATGTTTATAATATATTGTATACTGAACATTTCCGCGGTAGTTTTAATTCAATTTAAGTTGACTGACATAATTAAATCATAATATTATTATATGAATCCTTAAAACTTTATAAATGGAGAGATGTAAATATGATGTAAATAGTTTTAATGATAAATTGATGGTATATTACATACTGATATGTTGAAAATGTGACTTTTTTTTCTCTGATGTCAATGTCAGTCAAATAGTTGGTTAGTTAGAAAACGTAGTGAAGTAAAAACAACTTGTTTTAGGGTAGTCATCATGTTTTTTCTTTTTTTTGGATTAAATATTGAAGAATGAAAATGGTGAAATCAAGACTTCAAAGGTGAATATAAGCTATACAAACTACTATCATGAAGTGATTAGTCTTTGTAGGTAAGATATTGTAGTGAATAGGAACACAGGGTGGGGGGGGGACAACCAAATGCATTTAAACACAAATTTACAGAATCTTTTAGTAAAATCTGAGGACCATAAAGTAAATGTTATTCAGTTGTTTCAGACTTCATTGTTCTTTCGTTTTCACACCAACCATTCTCTGTTCTTGTTCTCTTTTCTTCGATCTCCTTAACCTTACTCCGCCAGACATTTCACTTTCTATTGAAGATACGTACTACTTATATCTGTTGACATCAGTTACACACACCACAATAGAATTTCAACGCTTATTTCAACTAGCTGGAAAACTCAGTAAATAAAATTTCTTAGATCTTTTAGCCTAACTTATTGAAATTGTGGCCAGTATGTTAGTGCTGTAAAGTGAGATTTTCTAGACTAATGTTTATAAAGACCATTACATACATGCATTTTTTACGATTTTCAGTGATCGGCTAAACTAATGCATAGTATTATGGATTTTGTTAATATTATAACTCCAGTTGGTATTTGGAGTACATTATAAAAATAAAAAAGCTTGAATAGCGTTATATTTGAGAAGAGTTGTAAATCATCATTGAAGAGCCTATGTGAAGCGATTAATTACTCAATGTGTAATCCTTAATCTTCACTAATACTAGAATGATATATTGATGGGTAGGACTGTGAAAATAAATGATAACAATCTGTGATCATACAAAATATTTGTTAATATTCATCATTAATTCTAATTCATTCAAAGATCTCAACCTTAAACATTCAAATCAGTGCTAACAAGCAATTAATACATTAAAGAAGGTAGAATCTATTTGTAAAATCTCAACTAATGAATTTGAAGTAAATTCAACGTATCGTTCGACAATCTAGTCCAAGCTTTTTTATGAAAATATCGATAGATATAAGTAGTATGTATCATCAATCGAAAGTGAAATGTTTGATAATAGAAGCTTAAGACGATCGAAGACAAAGAGAACATGAACAAACAATGATTATGTATTAGTCATTATACTCATGCAACTTTTCATTGATCACTTAGCAACAAAATATTGATTGAGAATCGAGAAAAAAACAGAAAAAAATCTTTAAAAACATACATTAATTTTCTCTTTTTAAATGAACTAAATGATATATTTTGACCTTTATTAATTGTTGAATATTGTGTCACATTTGAATGTTTACTTCGTTGATTATATTGAGTAGATTGAATTAAATTTAATAAAATTTTACCATATTTTGGTAAACGTTCAAATTGAATGAATAATTTTTCTTCTGGTGTATCTAAATCAATAATTGATAGAACATTTGAATCAATCAATAATTCACCATCACGATGTAATTTTAATGGGGAAATGATCTAATATAAAGAGAGAAAAAAAGTCAATAAAATTCAGTGAATGAATGAATGATATAGTTTTTAATAATTGATCATTGAATATGTATAGACTTTTATGATGTTTAAAGACGATAGTATGTTTCAAAAGTCAATATGTAAAGTTTTCATTGTATTTAATTCTAATAGTTCATCATCATCATCATCATCATCATCATCATCATCATCATCATCATCATCATCATCATCATCATCATCATCATCATCATCATCATCATCATCATCATCATCATCATCATCATCATCATCATCATCATCATCATCATCATCATCATCATCATCATCATCATCATCATCATCATCATCATCATCATCATCATCATCATCATCATCATCATCATCATCATCATCATCATCATCATCATCATCATCATCATCATCATCATCATCATCATCATCATCATCATCATCATCATCATCATCATCATCATCATCATCATCATCATCATCATCATCATCATCATCATCATCATCATCATCATCATCATCATCATCATCATCATCATCATCATCATCATCATCATCATCATCATCATCATCATCATCATCATCATCATCATCATCATCATCATCTTCTTCTTCTTCTTCTTCTTCTTCTTCTTCTTCTTCTCATGTATTCATTAAAGTAACGTATCTAAAACAAAATTTACTTTCTAATTCATTCTAATACAAATTTCATTGAAATATTTATTAGATAAATGTGCTATTCATACTGAAAATGAATTGTATAGTAACTAATGAATTATTGATGAGACTATAATTTATGGATGACATTTGAGCGATACTTGACTGACCTTGGGAGTGTTCACGTAATAAGTAGAATCAAATGAGGGTTATAAACCTGTTTGAGGAAATAGAAATATGATTTACAGTTGATGATTTAGGTTAGAAATTAGATTTAGGGTTTTTTTCATCACGAACTGACATCAGCTATAATGTCAAAACTGTATTTGGTAAAATGGATGAATGAATTTCCAGGCAAAATCCAAGACGCGTTATCTTAAATCTGATTGGTTTGTCTATAAATCATAGTCTCACCGGGTTATTTGAAGTATTATTGAATATTAAAATGTAACACAAGATTATGTTCACTGAATGATTGGAAATATTTAATTCTTATCAGTGGGTTTTAATCTGATAACTCTGTGTTTACATTTTCACTGCAAGAATGTAAGTTTTAAGGAAGATAGCCACTGAAGACCATGGCAAACGTTCATGTAATATTATGGATTGGTTGGAGTTGAACTCTTGCACCACTGGGTACTAGTCCAGTGGTCTACAGGATAAGTGTTTGCGTAAGAGAACGAAGGTTCTGATTGCGCGTCCCGACAGTGTGTGTATACTGTTAAGGAGTTCCATATTAAGACGAAATGACCTACCAGTGATCTTTGGTTTTAGTCGTTGTTTAAAATGAATGAATTCATGATTTGAACTGAATTCAACAACCTCCATAACTTTATAGTGGTGGCAATCTGATTGTTCATTATTGAGGAATAAAAAAATCCACTGAAAACCTGAAAGCATGAGATAGTTGTTTCATATTCTTGAGGACCTTATTATCGGTAAGCACTCAAAACAACTCATGTGAGACCTACACTGAAGACAGTTTTGTATTGTGAAGAGTACGATAATTTTAAACTACCAAATCGGAGTCTAATAGTTCATGTATCCAAATTTTATTATAATGAATGATCATGTAAGGTAATCTGGGGTAATATTCAGGAAACATTAGACATAGGTTTCGTGCTAGTCACTACTTATGAACAAAGTTTCAGATCACACACAAAGTCCTTCCAGTTATACCACAAATGCCGATACTTCTTACTAACGGGTATCAAGCAGCATGAAAATTAGTTTAAAAGATATTTTATTTTATTCATTTAAACGAAACAGTTTGCAGTACTATTTTGAACAGTTCATTTGCCCGATGTTGAGAATGCAAAATGACTTAAGGAATGATACTAAATTTACATTAAATTTTATCCTTATGAGTGTGTATAATGTTTGTATTCGTAGAATATTTACAGTTTACTTCTGATAGTTGCGTACATACTTTGCCTGGAGCACTTTTAATATTACTGCAAGCCTCAAGTCTGGATAAATGAGGAGGGTTGGGCATGGGATTAGCAACTTCATCCCTTAGGTAAGAACCTTGCTAAAAAGAACACTTACTAGAAATAAAGTGAATCATGCGTTATTTCTTAGGTATATCAATTAAAATAGTACTTTGAAAATGAATGTTTAACTGTTAGCCAGTAATTTATACAATATTTCAAGCAACGGTGAATTGCATGACATTCTTTTTTTACTCTGCACAATAAGTGTTTCTTAGTAATATTCATCTACGCAAAACTTAGTAATTAAGAAGAAATACTCCTGATCACTGTGTTGAAAATAGTCATTAATCCATTACTTATGGTTAGCTGACTGAAGCATGATTGGTAGTCATGAGTTATAGAAAGTTAAAACAACTGGATATATAAATTCATTTGATATTGTTTGCTTGTATCTTCCCATTGTTGTTTAGGACTGCAATCGATCAGTCTTTTGTTGGCATATGTGCATCCTGTGCGGACTGTCTCGATATTGCCTTAAGTCACAAGCTTTATAAGCAAAAATGAATGGTGGCTAGCAGTGAAATTCAGGATGAGCGTTTTGTCCTACTTGGGACTCGTCATTTAGATGTACCTACATCTCAGAGTCAATGTTCGATACAGGACTTAAACCCGGTACCGTTCGCTTCAAACGCCATCGCGTTATCTACTTAGCTGCTGAGTCTCGCTATCCACTAGTTTGTGCAATGGGATGAAGTTTAAATTCACTTGGTATTGTTTACTTGTATCTTCCCCGTCAACTCTCGGATTCAGGGACGTCCAGTTGACGTGTCTTAAATGAGACAAAACGAGCGTTCTGGATTCCACTGCTAGTCATCATCCATCTTTGCTTATAACAATTGGATATATGTTTGTGCATAGAGATTTCTTCCATAATTTTCGACTCCAAAAACTTGTTAACCCGTTCACCTTGCTACCAGTGTTCATATTACATTGTAACATATAATCTAATATTACAAGTGAATATAATGTCACAGGAATTGATTTGGTTAGTATAAAGTTTAGTGAGATTAAAATCCATTTCGCTTGTGGGAAGTATCAAAAGTGGAACATTAAATGAATGATTCAACACAAAATCAGATTAATTTAAAGAATGTTACTTTCAAATTTTTCGCATATTTTAATTTAGAATAGAAAGTTTATATGATTGAAGAATGAATTGATGATTGAATAGCTCACCTTAACTTCTGGTATTTGATTATCTTCAGCTACAAGTTGTATTCGCATTTCACGATTATTTAATTCATAACCACTGGGACCAGAAACACTATAACGTACTATTAAGTCTTGATCCTTAAAAAAACAAATAAATAATACAATTTCTGAAATATATTTCAAATTGTCAATAAGAGGTTGTGAAAATTGTTGAATTTTATTGAAATTATAAATCAATCTAAGTTGAACCAACATTGGAAACCGAAAATCCTGGGTTTGATCATCACGTACGGGGGTCATGTGTGCGCACTACTGAGGAGTCTAATAGCGGAGAGAAATGAACACCCAGTACTTTCAAGTTTTCAATGGTTGTCTAACTTAGATCGGTTTATTATTCCAAGGAATTCTTAGAATAATTTTGTTTAACACGAATCAGTCAACTTGAGAATGAATAATATTTCACAATGGATGAATTTTGAATGGTGGCCATTTCATAATACATGATTAATTAAAGTTGAAAAATCCTAAATATTATACTTTGACAGTGAGCCCTGATGTATGATCTCAAGGGCATCAGGTCGTTACCATTAGTGAAAAATAAAATATCTATCCAATAATTTATGAATTTAAAGATTTCTTCAGATAGTATTGTTTCTTGATGAAAGAGTATCTTCAGAAGTGTTTAAACTACATCTTGTATATATAAAAGAAAATTTGAATATATTCGTTTTTCAGAAACGTACATTATTGAAGACTTTAGTTCTAATATGAAAGACTTTGTGTGACATGGCTCCGAATCGATCACAATGGCGTCGGTGTATACACTCTCTGTCTTTCACAATTGATTGATCACTGGGTGGTGATCAATGTCATGCTTGTCTAGTCCTCATTAGTGCAGATCGAATGCTATCGATCATGTTGCAATGTGGCCACCAATCTAGGTGACTCGACACTGCGGGCACTATGTATTGAGATTTAGATGGTGGTTGGAGGTAGTCAACAGGAAACCCTGGACCCGGGTTTCGTGCTACTTGGCACTCGTCAGCAATGTGCACCTGTAATCTTGAGGGAACTGATGCTCCCTGGCGGATTCGATCTCGTGTCACCCAGCTTCACAGTCAGAGACGTTACCACTGAACTATCCGAGCCGTGACTAACCTCCTGTAGGACTGAGATGTAATCACAATTGATTGATCACTGGGTGGTGATCAATGTCATGCTTGTCTAGTCCTTATTAGTGCAGATCGAATGCTGTCGATCATGTTGCAATGTGGCCACCAATCTAGGTGACTCGACACTGCGGGCACTATGTATTGAGATTTAGATGGTGGTTGGAGGTAGTCAACAGGAAACCCTGGACCCGGGTTTCGTGCTACTTGGCACTCGTCAGCAATGTGCACCTGTAATCTTGAGGGAACTGATGCTCCCTGGCGGATTCGATCTCGTGTCACCCAGCTTCACAGTCAGAGACGTTACCACTGAACTATCCGAGCCGTGACTAACCTCCTGTAGGACTGAGATGTAATCACAATTGATTGATCACTGGGTGGTGATCAATGTCATGCTTGTCTAGTCCTTATTAGTGCAGATCGAATGCTGTCGATCATGTTGCAATGTGGCCACCAATCTAGGTGACTCGACACTGCGGGCACTATGTATTGAGATTTATATATATATATATATATATATATATATATAATTGTATTATTTCTACTTACTGTATATCCAATATCTTGAGTTGGTGGCACATAAACAATGTCATTTTCATCAATTTGTCTTTGTGTAAATTGTGTAACACATGGTACTTGAGCTTCACGAAGATTTATTGCTAAACCAGCTTGTAATTTCATATCACCAACATGTGTACTAGATGTAATCGATGATAAACTAACTAAACGACCAGCATCATGTGTTCCAATATATGCATTTTTATCCATTTTTATTATGTCTTCTAATTGTCTTAATCTTGGTGTTTGAACTATAGTGTAAACAATATTTTCCGATCCAAGATTATTGAACATTGATTGATTATATTGTTCAAAATTATGAGATGGTATATTCCATTCCATCCCATAATTTAAGTGTAATGATGTTAATGGTACATATGAAGCTGTTTCACGTACTCGTAGTACAACATTTGGATCCATTCTTTCAACAAGTATAATAGGGATAGGAGGCTTTATGATGCAGGTAAAAAAACACAGAAAAGATAGCAAAGTTTAAATAGAACGATGGAAGAAAAAAATTAAAAAAATTTTGTACACCTTTACTGAAGCTTATTATAAAGTTTTATAATATATACCCTTGAGGGATTCATTTGCAGGCTTTAAGTCATTTATGTCATGATTTTCGAAGAGTTTATGCTTTTATTCAAAATATACAGTCAGTATTAGCTTGTTAATAGGATCGGATGTCGTTGGAAGAGGTTTACAATTTAGCTCGGTTAAATTTAGGATTTTATTCTAGTCTATAACCAACTATTATTGCTGTTATATACATGAATTCTGATTATTCTAAGAATTGGAATTAATAAGGGTCGGTTTACCTCCACTCTGTAGTTTCTTGCATAGTAAACGTTTTTGAGTTCTTCTTCAATTTAAAACTAGACATTTCAATTCAGTAAATAACAGATTGGTATGAAATCACATAAACTGTAGTGGCTGGCACCTATGTCAAGCACACATAGGCTATTCTAGTTTTTGGAGAGACTAATTTATTCATTCTTCTCAAGTAAAATCTTGACTGTTTTTATGTGATCGTATGTGTGTTAATTGCTGGCCTTATTCATTACGTGTCTGTAACTTATTTTTGCCTGAATATAAATATTGAGTGACACGATCAGGACGTGTTGGTTCACTTGACTTCTCCTCTGAGAGTTACTTCGTTTCACTTCGCTTCCTTCATTTTGTTTCTCTGATTGTCTATCTGAGTGCATAAAATATACGTATTCAGAATTCATTCACGTATTTGACTTATTCCGTTATTATCTAACGCGAATTAAGTCGATAATTATGTACGAGGGTTGGCGGCATGTATATTTCGATAATAATCATCATACGATCTAACTGGATTCAGATATCGGGCCACCAAAAAGTCACAATAAAAATGTTTATTTTACATGTTCAGTTAATCAATAATAATAACTAAAAAATCTATCTATATTACTAACAAATTAATGGCATCATCTTCAATATAGTTGATCAGGCAAGATCTGACTTTTCGTCAAGCCAAATGAGTGAATTCAAATTCAAGGATCAAACAATGAATTATTCATTGTAAAATATAAAATCTTACCGATCAGTAATCAATCTCAGTAGTAATACATTAATATTTAAATGAAAAATATTCTTCTCAATAAATTCTCTTCAGGTTCTATAATTATCAATCCGAAAAGTCGATATATTTAAAGCAAACTACATAGTTTTGAAAATTCTATCATTTGAATTTAAGAATATATAAGAACTTTCGTCTAAATTTGATCGAATAGTTTCACAGTATTCCAGTGCCAAGATGATGTGGAACATTAAAGAGGGAGAATATATTTCATTAGTTGAAATCATGAGTCAATTGAAGCTAGGTCACCATGGAAAACTTGAAAGCACTGGATGGCCGTTTCGTCCCAGTATGGGACTCCTCAGAAGTGCGCACCCACGATCCCGACCCTGACGAGACTCGAACCCAGAACCTGTCAGTTTCGCTCCAGGCGCTTAACCAAATAGACCACTGAGCTGGCATCCAACGGTGTTAATGTCCAACTTCAACCAATCCACGAAGTTGCGCCACCGTACACTATTGTCTTCAATGAGTTGACATCTCACAACCGACCTGGTTGAACTCCACAGGTAACGGCTTCTCAGTAGAACTCCAGGAGTATCTCTTGAAGTCAGTCAGACTCATGATTTCAACCAGTGAAATTTTTAAAATCTCCACAAAACCCCTTCTGATAAGAGTATATTTGTAAAATATCAGCTAATAAATTTGAAATAAATACAATGTTTCGTCTAGTAATCTTGTCCAAACCTTTTCAAGAAAATATACATATTACATATTATTTATTTCTGTTACGCTATGTTACCTATATTTACTCTGATCATGAATATTATACGTTCATTTAATGTATAACGATTTTGTCTTATTTTACAAACATTCTTAAATTCAAGTGGAAGAATGTATTTGAAGTAAATCCAATGTTTCGTCTAGCAATCTTGTCCAAACTTTTTCAAGAAAATATAATCAAACATCAAAATTATCGAATATAAATAGGTACATTGTTCTCTGGTTTACTGTATACTCAATACGTTATTCACTCAATGTCAATAATGTTTAAATTAGGTAATTGCTTTAGTGTGTAAGAGACTTGTCGTATGAAACTAAAAGTGTTATGATGACATTATATTCTTTTGAACAAACAATACTTTAAGATCATAACTAGTAAGAGTCAAAGATACACAAGGATGAACAACAAAATTATGTTTATGAAATCATATGTAGTGATTGTAATCCTATATATATATAGGTGAAACATCACAACAACTGAGTGTGAGAGTGAAAGGACATAAACTGTGCTTAAAGCACATTTCTGAATCCTCAGTTGATGTAGGAAAACTTGAGAACAAATCGGCAATAGCATTACACTCTATAGAATCGGATCATACAGTTGATTTCAACGGCACAAGAATCCTTCCAAAAGGTATTAATTCTTACAAAGAAAGACTAACATATGGGCAAACCTAAGGAGTATTAATAGAAGAGATGGAATACAATTAGCTGTCGCATGGCAACTAATAATTAATAAGTAAACCTGAACTACTTATTCCATTTTATCAATCTCTTAATATCTCTTAATCTTAATAATAGCAATGACATTCTTAAATTCTAATCAGTTGTCTTATCTGAACATATTAAATAATTAACTGGAACAATTAAAATAATCAAAAGAGGTTTTGTGGAGATTTTTGGAATTTCCACTGATTGAAATCCTGAGTCAATTGAAGCTAGACCACCATGGAAAACCTGGAAGCACTGGACGACCGTTTCTTCCTAGTATGGGGCTCCTCAGCATTGCACATCCACGGTCCCACACCCCACGAGATTTGAGCCCAGGACCTATCAGTCTCACGCCAGGTGCTTAACCAACTAGACCACTGAGCCGGCATCCAACGGTGTTAATGTCTAACTTCAACCAATCCACGAAGTTGCGCCACACAAACATTCATTTACAAATACATTCGTCCTCTTTAAATTCAATCCGTTATTTTGTTTATTTATTTTCATTTTATGCATGCTGTGATATATTTGACTCGTATCATGCATAAAAATTGTATGTTTTCTTAAAAATACACCCACCAGAGATAATATATAGTGAATGAAATTTCTTATCTCATCACTTACGTATATACACAATTTGTTATCTTAACACTTTTCATTTCATACCACAAGTCTCTTACACACTAAAGAAATTACCTGCTTTAAACATTATTGACATTGAATGAATAACGTATTTAGTATACAGTAAACCAGAGAACAATTTACCTATTTATATTCGATAATTTTGATGTTTGATTATATTTTCTTGAAAAAGTTTGGACAAGATTGCTAGACGAAACATTGGATTTACTTCAAATACATTCTTCCACTTGAATTTAAGAATGTTTGTAAAATAAGACAAAATCGTTATACATTAAATGAACGTATAATATTCATAATCAGAGTAAATATAGGTAACATAGCGTAACAGAAATAAATAATATGTAATGTGTATCATTTTTAAAGTGTAGCTAGTGGTGAAATTCGTGACGCAAGTTTTTATGCCATTTGAGATTTATCAACTGGAAAGATGTGCAGTACAGTGTTGATGTTCAAACTGAAACTGGAACCTAGCATCTATTACCCATTAGGAGCGATCCCGTTTCAAATAAAGTACTGAACTCAATGGATTGATTGAAATTAAACATTAACACCATTGGGTACTGGTTCAGTGGTCTTTAGGTTAAACGTTCCTGATTAAGACCAAAGATACTGGGTTCGAATCTCGTGTGAAGGAGTCCCATACTGGGACAAAACGGCCGTCTAGTACTTCTAGGTTCTCTAGCTCAGACTGACTCATGAATTCAACTACTGAAATTACTACAATTTCCACAAATCCCCATTCTGATTATTTGTAGGAGTTTGTATTATTATTATTATTATTATGAATAAAAATGAAAACAGTAACTTACTTGTATTTCAAATGTCATATAAACTGTTGGAAAATCAACACGACCAATTTGTTTAATACCCATTAAATCAGTTGAACGATCATGACGTTGATTTAAATAACATACTTCACCTGTTTCTAAATCAGATAATAGAATTACACCAATTTGTGATTTCTCCATTAATTCTTGTTGTTCAACAAATGTTACTTCATTATTATCTACATGAATTTTCTCATTTGTATAATAATCCATATTCAATTGTTGATTATTATCTTTATTATTTTTATGAAAATAATGATAAGTAGTGAAATTTTTTACAATAGGCAATCGAATTAATACACCTTGACTAGGTGCTACTTTAACAACAAATGCTAAATTAATTATATCACTACGTATAGCTTTTAATGCTTCTGGTGTAAGAAAATCTTCAGCTGTAAAACATATTGATGATAATGTTGGTAAACGAAATGTATTCCCGGATTTTAAAGCACCATTGTTAATCTGAAACAAAGAAAATGTATATATACATATTGTTATTATTATTATTATTAGCTTTATTCAGTATTAGATTTTTGATACAATATAGAATTCTCAGCACGAAGTATTTCAACAAGTTTCCGTTTCTTACATCTTGGTCGATCCTGACGATAACTATTCAATGATCGCCAGTTAGAAGTTAGCAGTCTAGTCAATCGACATTGAAACAATGTACATTCATTTCACTGCATATTGCCAGGAACCACGATGTCACTGTTTGGCCATTTCGTAACTTGTACAACGAAATGTTGTACACTTTTCAAAAACTCACCTGAATAGTTTTTGCGATTGTTAGTCATAATGATGTATCAAAACAAATAAAATTAGATAACTTGTTAAAATATTTAGATGGCAAGAACTCATAACCCAAATGTTCAAGCAGGCCGTCATTAATGTTTATAAAAGATTTAAATTGTGAACAGAATGAATGTACTTTTTTGTGAGTCCTTTTAAAGCAAAACGTTTTTGGAAATTGTAAGTGATTCCTATCACAAGTTGTTGGTAATTAAAGAATTATTGAAGAAAAAACAAGACAGAACTAGATCAGCTAACTTATTCTGGTAAAGAAAAAGATTTCATACCATTGTACACACTTACAACCAAAACTTGGAACTGAAACCGAGATCTTTCAGTTCAGTAACTAAAATTTAATATTTGTAATTTGCATGTTCATACTGTTTACTAGATCATTAAAAATTCAATAATAAAATAGTTACTAATGAAGTTAAGTTTAATATTTAATTAGATAGTCCTTTGAAAAGAACTGACTTAAATTTATTTCTATAAAATCCTTTATTATATATTTTCAAAATTCATCATTCGTTTCATTTTCCACCATAGATATAATTTTGGTTTATTAAGCAACATATAAAACGGATTATATCTTGACGAATTTATAAAAACGTAGCAGTTGTCAAGCATTTACAACATCAGTAATTTATTCAAAATTATTACCCTCCTTCCCAACTAAGAAATTTTATTAAAAAAAAGACTGAGACGAGTTGTAAGTTGATTAAAGGTAGTCTATAGGAAACTATAAGTCTGGTATTATCTATGAGGTCTAGAATCTGATTGAATCAACAGCATGGTCCCAGACATTACCATTGAGTTAATAGAGACCAAGTACCTGAATGCTGTCCATCTATTTGAATACGTATATTCCTATTTATACAATTTGTTAAACACTAATGATTAATGAAGTAAGCTATTTGGGGAATAACTAAGGGATGATATTGTATAATCGTTACAGATGGATCAAAATTGAGAATATCAGTCACCGAATATTCGACTCGCTAATTACAATGTTATTTTGGTTGAAGAAAGAACTAAAACACATTCAGTTACAATCCGTATCCGATCATATGTGCGCACTTTTTAAAAGTCTCATACTTCGGTTAGTAAACTCTTTTGTCCTTATAGGTTTTCAGTGTTTCACAACCGAATTTTCAGTTTATAACATCAACATTTCTTTAAATGATACAAATTGTTTTTAAATTTCCTGAACAAACATTGAAACTCTCTAACGTTGTAAGTAGATGATGTGAATTTGTGAAATATGATATAAGATATCAGCGATGGGAATAACATATTTTTCCCACTAAATTTAAATAATTTACATGCTATAATATAAACAAATTTAAACTGAATGAATATTAGCTAAAATTGAATTATTGCATAGAACAACATCTATTTTGGTTTATATCATGTCTGAACATTTGGTCATGAATAATAAGTTTTATTTCGGATCCGTTGGCCAGACAATATCAACAACAATCTACTATGCAAGAAAACAAATCAGATCCCAACGGAGGAAGAAATCAGAAAGAAACGCTGGAAGTGGATAGGACACACATTGAGGAAGGCACCCAACTGCATCACAAGGCAAGTCCTCACTTAGAATCCTCAAAATCAAAAGAAAAGAAGAAGACCAAAGAACGCATTACATCGAGAAATGCAGACAGACATGAGAAGAATGAACAGCAATTGGATAGAACTAAAAATGAAGGCTCAAGACAGAGTGTGTTGGAGAATGCTAGTCGGCCGCCTATACTCTATTGGGGTAACAGTCATAAGTAAGTAAAAAGTTTTGTACTAAACAAAATAGTTCTACAATTCTTTCTTCATCTATTTTGATCATTCAGCTGTTTGTCATCCGTAGTTACAGTCTTTCATTCTTAAAAAAGAAGAATTTCACGTCATCACACTTTATCACATCGTATTCAATTCTACAATGATTAATATGTATAGTTGGTATATATATATATATATATATATATATATATATATATATATATATATATATATATACTTTTTAACCACTAACATCCCTTTTTCTATTTCATTAAACATATTCTTGTTTATTGTATTAGACGGTGTTCATTTGAAATACATGTTAAATAACACTGAACATGAATTTAAACGTATAACAAGAAACAACTGTTAAATGGTTACTTTCATTGGACACCTTTCATTTAAGTCATTACATAATAATAATATAATGATGTTAATAATAACAATAATAGTTGAAATAAACGTTTCACATGATATTCGACAGAATATTTCCTCATTTAAATAATGTTAAAATGAAATTACAGAGTCTTATTGTTAAAGACAAGTTTAGTGAATATATATATGTTTGCTAGTCCTCATTGTTTTGTTAACAAGTATCTTCCAAAGTGATAAATGATTGATAGAAGTAATAATAACATTATAGACTGCATTATCTAAATGAGTTTATCAATTATGATACAATTCAGATTTGAATAAGGCAAACACAATGATTATAACGAATGGATTTACTTCAACTATTTACAATCTAGAAATCATAATATTAATCATCATGTAGTTACAAGTAATTGAAAGAAAATAATCGATCTACGCTTCGTAAACATCTTAGTTCTATTGAAATTCAGTCATTGGTCAAATAGCTCTGTGATAATGTTTTGGATTGTGAAGCTGGATAATATGAATTTGAATTACATAGATAGCGTCAGATCTTTTATGACTTTAGGTATATCTTGCTGAAGATTCTCTTTAGCACAAAACTTATATCTACAGTCACTGGTCGATTATCATCAATCATTTGACAATTCATTCTGACCAACTTGATATGAGCGGAGATTATAATTTGGATGGGAGAGTGTTTTACTTAAATAGCATAATCTTTTAGTATAAATTAATGAGGTTATAATTGTCCAAGTATTAACGTTTTATTTAAATGCGTTAAAATATAGTTTTTCTTTATACATTGCCTGTTAATTACTTCAATTCAATTGGATAAATTAACATTGTAGCGAGAATTTCATAGTTTGCTAATTCATTATTCACTATTTTTAAAAGCCTAAGTAATCAGTAGAGATTAAACTGAATACTTGTTCAATTGATACCAATCAAGGTTTATTTTTGTATATCTTGTGACTTTAATTATTTATTATTCTTTTCATGTGTTTAATTTATTTGTCAGTGATTCTGTTATTTAAAATAGATTCAACTTCAATTCAGCCATTTCGCGGGGCAGGATCATGGATGAGTACTGCTGAGAAGTCCCATATTAAGATGAAACAGCCGTCCAGTGCTTCTAGGTTTTCCATGGCGGTCTAGCTTCAATTGTCTCATGAATTGAACTATTAAATTATTCATAGTTAGTTATATAATGTACCATTGTGGGCCAGGGTAATTTTATATTGGTTTTCAGGAGAACCAGACACCATCCAGACTTTCACGTGACAACCCAATCAGTACAGCCCAATCCTGTTTAACAGGGGAGCCAGACACCGCCCATGCTTAAAGTCTGTAGTCCAAATATTACGGCTCAATCCCGCTTCACAGGAGAACCAGACACCGTGTAGGCCTTATCGCTGCAATCTGAACAGTACAGTTCAATCCTGTGGCGCAACCACACAGGTACCAAGCACCCTGGTGGACCATTCGCACCATACATATATACATTCACATCACATGTATGGTTATTCCGATCAATAATCGCGTGAATCAATTATGCACAGTACGAACAGGCCAAGGTTGACCTATTCCACTTACACGACAGTCAAACTCATTAATATTAGCAATGGCAGCATGCCTTACAATGTCCCAATGACAATGGCCCTTGAGAACACTGAAAAGCAACCACCAGTATGAATGCAATCGGTTAATCAGCAAACCAATGTTGTGCATGAACAGTCAGTAAAACTTGCCAAAGTAATGCCGAACCATTCATAATATCAATGACCTTCAGCTGTACATAGCTATATAACTTGACACTTCAAGATTGCAATAACCAGTTACCACTCTTTATTAAAATATAATTAATTAATTCATTTAATTATTTTAGTAGTCAATTTAACATTTCATTACGTAATAAAGCTTTCACATAGTTGTAATATTAAACAAATTTATTGAAATTTCACGGGCTGAAATCATGAGTCAGTTGAAGCTAGACCACCATGGAAAACCTAGAAGCACTGGACAGCCGTATGGGACTCCTCAGCAGTGCGCATCCACGATCCCGCGCTCCGCGGGATTCGAACCCAGGATTTACTGGTTTCCTGCGCGAGCACTTAACCATTAGACCACTGAGCCGGCATCCAACAGTGTTAATAACTAAGATTTTATCCTAAGTAACAATGAAAATGAATATTCATAATACATTAACTTATGATTATGTACAATTAAAAGTACAGAACAAAACAAACAACTTACATGATTATATAATCTTACAATTCTTATTGATAATTCTAATTGTAAAACAGGTAAACTATTTGCTATTCTTTTATGTTTTCTACGTTGTTTACCAGAACCATATTTTTGATAAAGATTATTATTATTTTCATTGAAATAATCACTATTTATAGTTGTATTTTGTTCACGTTTTAATCTTAAACGTGAATTTAATAAACTAGGAATTGTTATTGATAATGGAATTCGTTCTATAGTTGGTTCATATTCACCATTATGAATATATGCTAAACTCATTGAAGCAATATGTGGTGGACCAAAATTGACATCATATGCTGATTGACCATCTAATAGTAATTGACCTTGTGATTTATTTATTGATAATTTATTATTTAAATTGATATCTTCGTTTAACCATGATCGGATTGTATAGACAATCATACTTTCATCGATATAACCAACAACCTATAATTTAAAGGAAGAAAATATGATTAAGGAAACTGTAAATAAAATTGACCCAAAATATATTTGTTACGATTTAGGGGATTTGCGGAGACTGTTAAATTTGATAGTTCACACTAGGGGACTGATCTTAGTTAAACGAACGCGACTCTTTAACAATACGCTTCCTTGACATTATCGAGGATCGAATATAGGACCTATAGGTCTTGTAACAAGGATTTGACGTTTAGAACACTGAATCGGAGTCCAATGATTCGTATCTTTAACCCCTCTTATGTATTTATAATGTCTACCATCTCTTAATACCATTATTCGGTCACCAACTCACACTCAACATGATTGTTTTTCTATACTAGAACGAAGCGGTTATCCAGTACTTCCTGGTTTTCAATAGTTATTGATCTAAGATCAGTCAGTGATGTTAACTATGAAAAATATTAATACTTCAATTAAATAATCAAAAAAAATAAATAAGTGGTAATTCCATTATTCATGTATTCACATCCATCTTCCGTTAGCTCATAGAATATATATGTTCTTAGTGAATTATTTCGTTTGATTGCTGTTACAGTTAACTTGATTCAATGTAAAATGTTTCAAATGAAAAGACTATCATCAAAAAAACTTGCATCATTTTCTGAATTAAATCTACTAGGATTCTTTTGAGTAAAAAGCCACATCATATGCACCACATAACTTGCATACTCTTATATTGTTTATAGTCGCATTCAAATACCATAAATTTTATGGTAATGAATTACAGTCAAGTTGATAAATTTAAAAGTACAAATAAATACGATACTTTAAGGGAAAGAAATTTCAGTCATTGAAAGTAAATAGACTTATTTATTTCTTTGAACACATAAATAATGGTACAAAGGGGCATTGAATATATATGCGCCACACAAGTCAATTGATTTGTGTGTGTGAGCTGTGATACTACTTGGGTGCCTAGACTAAAGCAGGTGGTTTTCTTAGGAGGCCACACTTGAAGCCTTCGGCCTCAAGGTCTGATCCACAAGGCAGTGGAGCATCGTAAGGAGTACATTCCCATGGTAGCCGTTGATCAATGATTGGTTCATACACCATTTTTTCCTTCGGGATCCTGGAGCCCATGTGCGCCATTGGTTTGAAATCAGGGTTTTCCACCTCTCCTAGGTGGATCTTCCATATTCACCGACGCGGTTACAGCGCCGGACATTCGGTTTTCGTCCTCTCAGTTTCGTAAACAACAGTAATGCCACGAGAAGGCAATGAGTAGGACTTCCCTTGCAGTGGTTGTATACACGTGGCCATGTGAGAGCAGTTGGTGAGGGAAAGAGAACTTTCCTCACCCTCGGCCATACCAGGGCATTTGAAGGCTGGTTTATAGGTAAACCAAATCAATCCACCAATGTGTCACATTTAAAATATTTAAAATCTTGCGCTATCTGATTATCAAGGTCAAAAGAAACAAAAAGTGTGTTTGCATGAATAATTATGTAGAAAACAAAATACTTAACATTATTTTTCTTCTAACCAATTCGTACATATACGTCATACATTTTTCTTCTTTGATTTTTTCAAATGTTTCCCACTTAGTTTTAGATAGTCAGTTACTATTTGTTTGTTTATTTTTCTAATTGTTTTACTCAAAAAGCTTCCAATATTATAATGAATATTTGAATAGGACTGTATGTTGGATGAAGTTAATAAGGTGAATGTTCAATGAGATAAGATGGAAACTCGTCAATTGTTTAAGTCATTTATTATTATTACCACCACTACTACTACTACTACTACTACTACTAGTGCCTATTTTTCTTATGACTATTTTTAAACGCTTAACTTTTCATCAATTTAACTAGAAAAATAGAATGAATGAATGAATGTCATATGCAACTAGTCATAACTAGTATAGGCGCCTATTAGTATGAATGGTATTCATTGAATACACACAAGAATAATAAGGAAAGAGAATATATTTGAAGAAAATCTAAACATATACACACTTAGTTAATAAATGAATTATAGTGCCAACTGACTATAAGTTGAGGATTTGTATATAGTGAAATATTATTATTATCATCATCACCATCACACTTACATACACAACTATGATTTCGGTTATACTTCCCCAATGTTTATTATTCAGTTATATAAACTGGCTAGTTAGTCTAAACTTCATTACTAATTATTATTCTTATTAATGCTATCGTTATTAGTTCATTGTAAATTGAGATAAGTGAATACTTTATTGTCATGTTAGTAATAATTCTTACTAACTAAGTAGTAATAATGGTCAAAATGTCTTCTTAATTTTCACTGTAATCTATTTATGAATAATGAGGGTGTAAACATAGATACACATACACATACATATATACATAAACACATATAGACAATGAATTTACAATAATGTGTTTTAGTTTGACATTATGCATAGCATTAAAACTAAATTTAAAAACTAAAGTATTGAAAGAATTTGGCGCCAATTTCAAGTTAGAATAAAATGAAAGATGAACTATATAAAGAAGATAGTTTGTTGAAAAGACCATAAAGAAAAGAAAAAAGATGGTCGAAGATACCTTGAATTCGTGGTAGTTGTATATAAACAACACGTGGTTCAATCTCTATGCATTTGATAATCTATGCTTGTTTATTTATTTAGAAAATAAAATATAAATTATGATAAATCATCATTGTTTTAAAGTATTATTAATGATGTAGGTAAAACTATGTACATATAGATATACCTCTATATGTTTATCAATGTATAAGTGAACTTTTGTTTTCCCTAACTATACACTAAGGTTTACATGATACCGTTATTGATATAATGAGAACTGAAATGTGATCAATCTTTGTTGGCATTTGTACATTCAACAAGAAGTTAATATCAAGTCATCTTCATATATACAAAGAAACATGAATTCATTGTCAATTTTGAATATTAATAATGAGATAATATAAATCTGTACTCGTAAATATAATATATTCGTTAAATAAGAGAGTAGACATATGGTCTCAATATGTAAGGGGAATAATATAATAAAGTTTAAAGCTTCAGTATGAACATGATTACTGAAATCTGGACAAATCAAAAATAGTAGTATTAATATTCATTAATACTATTTAATTCCTGGAAAGCATTACTTATATATGTTTTTTTATTACCTCTGTAACATTTTGGTCGTTTTAAAGATATTTCCCATCAAGTATTTATATGCGGTAAAGAAGTAGTTGAAAAAAGCTAACATTAGACAATAGTATCGGTTTATTTTTGTTGATAGTTCAAAAAGGATTTCAATCCAAAACTTAATAATCTCTACAACCTCATACTGATAATTACAATGTGCTCACTAGTGACTGGCTTCATGAGGGAATTCTCGGAGTTCTAGTGAGAATTTGTGACGAATGGAGCTAATCCGTGCCGGGTATAAACAGGTATCTACCTCTGTAAAATGGAAGTCGGTTGCGCAATTTCTTGGAGTGGTTGAAGTTAGGCATTGATATGGTTGGATACCGGCTTAATCGTCAGGATGTTAGGCGTTCGCGCGTGAGACTAAGGGCACTGGATTCGAATCTCACGAGAGAGATTGTGGATGCCCACTTCTGAGGAGTCTCACAATAGGACGAAGCGCAAGTCCAGTGCTTCCAGGTTTTCAATGGTGATCTAATATCAATCGTTTTATGATCTCAATTGCAAACCTAATAATCTCCACAACCCCGTACTGATAGTTCAAAAATAACCTATCAACAAAGTTTTCAAAAACCTAGAAAGGTTTGAAAACGTATTCTTCAATTAATATTGAATAGAATCATCTCAGTAACATCTAAAGGAATAAAGGATTTTTTGTCAAATTTTGATTGAATAATCGTATTTTGCTAGTACATTAGGCATGTTTCCAGAAGTTTCCAGCAAATTGAAGTCATTGGATAAACTTATATAGACAAACTTGACTTTCTATATATAAATTAACCTTGGAGTACAGCTTTTGTTCATATTTCTCGCCTTTTTTCTGTTGGTCCAATCGAAGTTTAGAAGTAGTTTAATGACATGGACTCAATCTTAGTCAGTAACAAGGGTTCAAGTGGAAGAATTGTTAATTTTACATGGTTGATTTCTTATTAAATCTCATAAACATGTTTGATTACAGTAGTTCAGTGGAGATTTTTCCAAATAAGACTTATTAGGTATTTATCTTTAACTGAAGAAAATTTTTTTATGTTTAACATTACTTTGAAAGTGCCTAACACTATACACTCGTAAATCCACATACCAAATAAATGTCAGAACCAATAAGGGCTTTTGATAAGTATGATAATTTCTGATCACTGAGTCAGATTGCAAATGGTTATCGATTAGTAAACAGTTAGGGGTAAGTGAAAATGACCAACTTTGGAGGTTGTTTTTTTTAGAAAGGTCAGCAATTATACATTTTTTAATGTGTATTTGTTAAACACACAGTTTACGTGATTTTTATATTTTCCTAATTGTAAACGTCTACTTTTTGTATTCTAATTTCTCTAGTTAAATACATATTCTAATTTCTTGTTTATGGTGTATTGTAGTCCTGCAACTTATGTACATAATAATGTAGGCTTTCGAATTAAAGATAAAAAAGTTATATCAACTGTCTTAATCTCCGATTCGGGATTGGGGTCAAGGATTTTGAATGTGCTAATAAGTGTTAACATGCCAGGTCACTTAGTTGGAGTATCAGTATTACTGGTTAAATGATAGTTATTTAGGGTCATGTTATAAACATTTTGTGCATGAACCGTCCGCTTACAATAACCAGTGTCAATCCACTATTCAAACTGTAGTGTAACCAACGGTTTGAGTGAACTTCCGGTGTCATAATGCTTTGGTGGGGCCCATCATTTTGACGTAAGTTAGATTGGACGATGTTGTCGACGGACTCACTACTTTAGTGGCCCGATATCTGACTCCAGTTATATCGTATGAATGGTTGTTGTTAATAATATATAAATCGTCTATACTCGTATATTATTATCGACTTAGATGGCGTCGGTGAATAACGGGATTAAATAAGTAAAATACGAGAATGAATTTTCGAGTACATATATTTTGTACAACTGTTGATCGGAACAGATAATCAGAAAGACATAGCGAAGGGATAGAAAAAGAGTGAGCGAAACGAGATGGCGCGCAGTGGAGAAGGCACATGAGCCAACTCCTTTCAATAAAGCGTTAATCAATATTTATAGCTATACAAGAATAAGTTACAAACAAGTGCACACACACGCTCATGTAAGCGCAGTCAAGGTTGATAATCAAATAATTAACAAGGTCAAAATGTAGCTTGAGAAGAATGGATAAACTGACTTGTCCGGAAGATAGAGTAAGCTATGTGGGCTCGACATAGGACCAGCCACTATAATGCTCATTGTTTGGAAGCAAAGCGTTGGAGACGACTAGTTATATATATATGTATATATCGGAACAAATTTAGCAAGACAAAATTAGGTATCAGTACATAAGTCTAAGCACTTACTTGAATATTATGTTTCTGTATCAATGATGTTGCACCAGTATATGTAAATAATGGTAAACTGAAAACTTGAAATGATGGCGGTGCATTTGATGCCAATGTACGAGAATTTATTTCCACTACAGGTTGTAAAAATGTTGCAATGCGTAAATTCACCGGTTGACTAACTTGAAAATATGGATCAATTGCTGTCATTGTAATAATAAATACCTTTATAGAATGAAAAATGTAAGATAAAAAAGATTATTTGGAAGGAAAATAAAAATCCGAAACCCGAATTCTAGGGTGAACAGGAATTTTAAGTTCCAGGTACATACCACTGACGCATCTCAACTAAGACGAAACATACATTTTGGATACCTCATCCAGTGACATACCATCCATTCTATATAAATTGGTTTCATAATGGTTATGTTGACAAATCCGGATAGGATGCACGTAATCCAATCAAGACTGATTAAAATTAAGTCAAAAATATCAACAACGGGATAATCTGAGACATTACTAATTAAGTTAATTAGATCAGTTGTGAAATAACCACAATAGGGTCTTTGATTCGATTCATGTTGGGGAGGTGTAAATTAGTGCACGTTAAAGAAATGTTCCATAAAGAGAAGAAACATTAGGCTGGTGCTCCTGCATTTTCATTTAATTACTAGTTAGATTCAATCCATGGAGTAAACTATTTTTATACTAAAAAAGCTTTTAAATTATATTGAACAATAATGTCTTTGAAACAAATACACAAAAATTTTAAAATCTTCATAGTTCTAAATCACAAACCCATCTTCGTTAGACCACTAATGAAAACCTGGTATCATTGGAAGATCATTTCCTCCTACTATGGGAATCCCCAGCAATGTGAATCCATGATTCCGCTTCTAGCTTTACAATGGTAATCAAGCTAAGATAAATTTGTTATTTAAAACTACGAAAATCCTACAATTATCATAAATCCTTCAATTCTAACTATTTTGAAGTTTCCAGTTCTTTTGCAATTTTTATTTAATGTCAAAATTATGCTATCAACTTCGGTTTTCTTAAATCACTAAATCGAAACATGTATATGGAATGTTTATTGGATATCAAGGGACAAAATGTCATTTTTCTTATCGAAGAGGATGTAAAGTGCATTCAAATCCACACTATTATATTAAATACCGATGAGATTTCACTACTGAATGTGGGAAATATGAGGATTTTCCTGACATACTGATCTTCGAAGCATTATTCTTCTGCACCGTCTACCTCAATAGAATCCAATTGATAATATTCTATGAGTAAACAAATTAAAGTACGACAAGTTCATAAGATTTGAGGCTATTCGTCTTAGACACGTGAAAATGTTTTTATTACGGTAAGACTATAATTTATGGACGAGCAAATCAGATATAAGATAACAGGTCTTGGATTTCGGCGTGAAATTCATCCATCCATTTTGCTAAATAGAGTTGTTGTCAGTTCGTAATCGAAACCCCAAATCTAGTTCCTAAACCTAACCATCAACTGTAAACATAATTTCAATTTTTCGTACTGCTTTATCATCCTTGTTTAGTTCTAATTAGTAGGCGAACACTCTCATAGTCACTATCGTGTCACTCAAATGTCATCTATAAATTATAGTCTCATCTTAATTACTTGCCGAATTGACTAATTTTTATAGTATAGACTGCGAAGAAAAGACTGAATACCATAAATTCAAATCTAAACACTGTAACAGAGAATATTCATTATAATGAATGATAATTCAATATTTGAGATAATCTTTATTATCAGTTGAAGCAAATATAGAAGTGAAAATAACTTATTAAATCATCTACATATGTATACGTCTACAAACTTACTTTCACTAAAGATTCAGCATAATTCAATAATTGTAATGCTATTAATCCTTGACGAAGATCAGCTAAACGAAAACTTGTAACTGGTCTTGTTGGATCACGTAGATTCACTATTTGAGCTTGTAATGGACCTTGCATTCTTGTCATATTTATATCTAAATATTCCCAACTAAGAATTGAATCTCTTGGAATACTTATACTATCACGTGGAAGAATTGATAAACTACCACCTATGTGTGTAACATTTATCTTGAGTAAGAAAAAAAAATTGGTAAGAATCAGTTAAATATATTGAATGTGCAGAATGACAGAAATAAGATGAGAAATGCAAGTTGAATCATTCAGTGTGAATATATTCCTTAACATATTATAGACTGAGATCATTCAATTTTGGATTCATTTTCAATATTTAAATAAATATTCTGGAAGAGTAAGGCTTAAGTCTAGCTTACATTGATGAAGAATTGAGTATATATATATAAACTCTAGGTTAAGTATGCAAAACCAATTTATTAGATCTATCTATTTACTAATCAATGATGGATAGTGGCTAGCAGTGGAATCTAGGATGCGCTTTCCGTCCTATTTGGGACTCGCCAGCTGGATGTACCTGCATCTCAGAGTCGATGTTCACTCTAGGACTCGAATCCAGTACCATTTGCTTCAAACGCCATCACGTTATCCACTTAGCTACTGAGATTAGATGGTGGTTGGAGGTAGTCAACAGGAAACCCTGGACCCGGGTTTCGTGCTACTTGGCACTCGTCAGCAAGGTGTACCTGTAATCTTGAGGGAACTGGTGCTCCCTGGCGGATTCGATCTCGTGTCACCCAGCTTCACAGTCAGAGACGTTACCACTGAGCTATCCGAGCCGTGACTAACCTCCTGTAGGACTGAGATGTAATCACAATTGATTGATCACTGGGTGGTGATCAATCTCATGCTTGTCTAGTCCTTATTAGTGCAGATCGAATGCTATCGATCATGTTGCAATGTGGCCACCAGTCTAGGTGACTCGACACTGTTGACTACCTCCAACCACCATCTAATCTCATTACATAGTGCCCGCAGTGTCGAGTCACCTAGACTGGTGGCCACATTGCAACATGATCGATAGCATTCGATCTGCACTAATAAGGACTAGACAAGCATGAGATTGATCACCACCCAGTGATCAATCAATTGTGATTACATCTCAGTCCTACAGGAGGTTAGTCACGGCTCGGATAGCTCAGTGGTAACGTCTCTGACTGTGAAGCTGGGTGACACGAGATCGAATCCGCCAGGGAGCATCAGTTCCCTCAAGATTACAGGTACACCTTGCTGACGAGTGCCAAGTAGCACGAAACCCGGGTCCAGGGTTTCCTGTTGACTACCTCCAACCACCATCTAATCTCATTACATAGTGCCCGCAGTGTCGAGTCACCTAGACTGGTGGCCACATTGCAACATGATCGATAGCATTCGATCTGCACTAATAAGGACTAGACAAGCATGAGATTGATCACCACCCAGTGATCAATCAATTGTGACTTAGCTACTGAGTCCTGATAGCCACTTGCTTGTGCAGTGGGGTGAATTTCACTTCACTTGGTATTATTTGGCTTGTATATTCCCATTGAGGTTTAAGACTGCAATTGATCAGTCTGTTATCTGCATACGCACAGTATGCGCATATGCCGATAACAGATTGATTATTTGCAGTCTTAAACCTCAATGGGAAGATACAAGTCAAATAATACTATCTATTTACTGTAACTCAAGTTTTATCAAGTTTTGTTAAATCAAGTTCACGAGTGTTCCTACAATTCTCATTAAAACATATTATAAAGGAGTATAGAAAATTTCTGGTGGATGGATGATGTAATGATTGAGTTTTCATTGTCATCTTGGACAAAACCTTTACCGCTTACTTCATGTAGAAATGAGTTTCTTTGTGACTATCCTATAAGTATTACTTTAAATTATTTATGTATCTTCAATCGCATTATAAATACTCGAACTGTTACTCTATCATGATGATTGGGATTAAACTATACTGTTATATGTATGTAGACTTTACGAAAATTTTGATTTAAAAGTATTATAGACTGTAAGTAGCTGATGAGAACTTAAATAAAATGATTACAGGTCATTCTGTTCAATTCTTTGTTCTTGTTCTCTTCAAGATAATAAAGGCAACTAAGTGTACACTACTCCACAAGTGTTATATCAGCTCATCCTGATAGCCTTCTTTGTGATTGGCTATCCTCGTAGGATTTTTCGTCCTCATTTGCGTTTGGATTAACGTTTTTTGTCTCAGTCTGTTGAGTTTTAGCCTCTTGATTGATTGACCTATTTTGCATGAATCCGTAGATTGGGCCAATGCCACTGTGTCTGTTGTTTGCCAATTGATCTGAATGTCTTAGTTTCCGTGATCCGAAATTTCAAAGATTTTTTCAGTTGAATTTTTGTCCATGGTTACCTGAATGCATTTATATCAGTGAGTGTGTACCCTGTTGTCTCACTGCTAATCTACGTTCATTTATGCATAAGTAAAGTAGGCGCTCACTTTGTCTTATGTATTATTTCCCGCAGCTAGTGTACTTTGTCTAAAATGAATGGCATTGCATTTTTCTTGTGTGTTATGTTTTTCGATCTGCACAGAATTGAATGAAGTAACTATTGGTTCGTGAGTAATGTTGGTGACAAAGGGCTTCAAGATCACTATAATGGTTTCTGAGTTATTTTTCACTCATGTAGGATGATTCTTTTCTTGGTTTCTGAGGTTGGTTATTCGACGTTAGGTTGACTAGCTAGACATCTTTAAACGAAGTTGTTGAAGTAGCCGTTCTTATGGAAGCCAAACTGAAAATGAGCTTCCTCAGTGTAGTTTACATTAAACATTGGTTATAGTTAGATAGAAAACAAGGAGCACTAGGAAGATATTTCTTTCTAGTTTTGGTCTCTTCAATTGTGTATATTTATGATTCCACTAGTATTGAATCTAGTATCATCTACTCTATGAGTAATTGTGTTCAGTTCAGGCTATTATCACCGGATTCAAATATGATGGTATACATCTGTAAGTGAAGTGAATGTTTTAGATATAATATACAACTGCTATTAATCGTTATCGATGTTACTTGTCTCACAGTCTATAAGGTTATATGGTTACAATTTTCAATTTTTCATCCGTATTTGTAATTATTTATTCACAAGAACATAGTTATTAATGGAATAGTATGTTTTTAAATATTGTCCAGTCAAATATCAGAATTTTTTTTCAACAGGGTCGAGTACATGTAAGCATACATTAGAGGATTAGGAAACTAAGACGAAACAGTTGTCCAAATGCTCTTTAGTTGATCATATTCGTTTAGTCAAAATCATTTTCTAATTTAAATTACCTTCATGTTATAAATTATTCATTAATCAGTTACAGTTAATTTAAAAATTAATTTATTAACAAATCTAATTCTTTACCTCAAATTGAAAAACAAAAAAAAAGAAAAATGAAGTGTTTTAGATCGAGATCATGAACTGATTGATGTTAGATCAACATTGGGGACCTGGAAGCACTGGAAAGTCGTTTCGTCCTATTGTGGGACTCCTCAGCAGTGCGCATCGACGATCCCTCTCGTGGGATTCAAACCCAGTGCCTTCAAACGCTTAACCTCTACACCTCTGAAATGAAATGCCTAAAATCAACGAAGTATAACTATTATATTACTATTATGTGTTTAATATTAGATAGATTGTTGTTGTTGCTAAGATTATGGCTTATATTCACATGTCTAATACTTATAAAAATGTAATGCTATGCAGTCGATGCAACAAAGTTGTCAACTATAATAGTATGTATATGTGTATATATTCACAATCAATAGTAACTCACTGATGACAATGGTGGATGTGTCGCTCAATTTTGTGGACTAGTTGAAGTTAGACATTGGATGCCGGCTCAGTGGTTTAGTGATTAAGCGCTCGCGCGAAAGACTGATAGGCCCTGGGTCCAAACCTCGCGGGGCAGAATCGTAACTGCACACTGCTGAGGAGCCCCACAATAGGACGAAACGACTGTGCAGTGCTTCCAGGTTTTTAATGGTAGTCTAGCTTCAATCGACTTATGATCTCAACTATTGAAATTACTATAATCTCTACGAAACCCTTTCTGATAAAAATATTGTTCTTTACAAGTTGTAATGACATTATTTCATTTGAAATGTAGTTAAATACTGATTTATAATTAAGAAAACTATTTTAATGATTTGGTTTTTGTCAAAATACACGTTTTAATTTATTTTATTTTTAAAGGTAAAATAAGACAGATAGGTACACTGTTATCTCTAACCTAACAGTCAAAGAAACACTTTCATTTATCCTGATAAGTTGACTAGATGTATATTCATGCATTGATTATATCTAGTGAATTTTGTCAACACCTGCTGTGAGTACAAATAGAAAAATGAAATTATTTTATATATTTTGCTAAAAGAATAAACGAACTATTGAAACATCAATACAAAGTCGTCATCATGAATATCATCATCATCATCAACATTATCGTAATCAGCGCAATTATCATCATCAACGTCATTTTTCAATAACAAACTTGTCAGTTTAATTTGATTAGGTTGATCACTAAATGAAAGAATGTGGTAAGAATGTAGTGTCGATGTTTTTATTTGATTTTAAAATGAAACTCTGTGTATTACCGCCTGCTAAGTTAGTTCACTTTATATATATGATTGTTGGTTCAATAAAGTTTGTGGAAATAGTTATATTTTATGCTACATTACGGACAGTTGTTTCGTTCCTCACCAGCAAGCATACACGACCTCATCTAATAGTTCTATCCTTGATGGGATTATAGATAAATGCTCCTAAGTAGGATGATACAACTGTCCAATGTTAGTCAGTCAGACAGTCAGCTACAACATAGGACAAGGTAAATATATATGCATCCGTCCAAGTTGCCATACCTCATTAACAGAACAAGATGAATACCACGTTCATAGAAACAGTTACTTCAATGGTAGTAGCATATATAAAAAAAGATTACATTATAGATAACATTACAAATAATGAACAGAACATTGAAGAAAGCTAGTACCACATCATATGTTTCTATGATTGTTGTTTTTTTCTTGTTTGAAATAAAAATACAATTACTCAAATAAATTTACTTGTCGAAATGCTCCTAGTACAGGTGATTTCAGATTTTGTGCATTTGAAATTGTCACTTTAAGGAATTTACTTTCAATTATCTGTTGTCCTCTTGAACCATCACTCATACGACTCCATATTGTTATTTGTATTGGTATGTAGTCGGTTGCGTAACTATTACCTATACGATGTAAATACCTATAGACAGTAATAATAATGATAATATTTTAATTAGTGAAATATCATGATTATCTATAAAAGAAAAAGGAAATTATTCCCATTAGATGAGGTAATTAATGATGTTACTCTACAAATATTGATGATTGATATCCTATATGTTTATCTTAAATTGTAGGTGTATCATTTCTAGATTATTATTAATTTTAGCTTTATTCAGCATTAGATTTTCGGTACAATATAGAATTCTCAGCACGAAGTATTTCAGCGAGTTTCCGTTTCTTACATCTTGGTCGATCCTGACGATAACTGTTGTATGATCACCAGTTAGAAGTTAGCAGTCTAGTCAATCGACATCGAAACAATGTACATTCTTTTTGCTGCATATTGTCAGCAACCACGATGACACTGTTTGGTCATTTCGTAACTTGTACGACGAAATGTTATACACTTTTCAAAAACTCACCTGAATAGTTTTTGCGATTGTTAGTCATAATGACGTATCAAAACAAATAAAATTAGATAACTTGTTGAAATATTTGGATGGCACGAACAGGTAACACAGATGTTCAAGCTGGTCGCCACTTTCACGCATGTGATTTTAATTTCTAACAGTTTACATTGAATATTGAACGAAGAACTGTCGTTTCCTTCTGAATTATCCAGTAACGTTTTAGCGTATATCGGATTTATTTCAAAACGGATTGTATTAAATTTCAGTGAAGAATTAGAAAAACTGTAGAGTTTATATTCATTTTTGGATTGATTGTTTGAATCTTCCCATTAATGGTTAGGGTTTCAGTTAATCAGTCTTTTATTGAAATATTTACAACCAGTGCGGATTTCCGAGATATTATCTTAAGTCATAAGCAGGTAAACTTAATTAGTGAGTTCCAAATAAGGTCAAAATGCGCGTTCTGGATTCCACTGTTAGGTACCATTCATCTCTACTTATAATGTAGAGTTTGTAGTTACGATATTGGTGGATTACATAATTTAAGTGTTTTTTAATCACTGATGCATTACATTACCAGTTGACACGGCAGAGCAGTGTATATGTACTGTATTCTGAAATGTTGGCAAAAATTTACATCTGAGTTAGATGCTTATGGTATTGATTAACTTTTCTTGCTGATTGTCAGCATCCAATATTATAGAACAATACTGATGTCAGTAAAATAAAAGATCCATTTAACTTCGCATATTCTCACTCTACTAATTACGTTAGCAAAAGGTAGAAATAAAAAGTCGAATACGGGTTGTATTTAGCACGTGTACATCTCAGACATTTACGTGAGCAGGACACACTGAATAACTGGAATATGGAGATTGAATTAATGCAGACAGCAGCGGCTATAAAAACGTACTCAGCGAGTGATTATATATGACCAAGTGAACTGTACACGATAGGCATGCATAAAGCGTACTCAACTAAAAATTGTTAATAGGAGGACACTTATGGAAATAGACAAAGAATAATCTAAACAAATAATTGCACTTGCAAGGGTCAGACAAAGTCACACAACAGTTCATATAAGTCTGCTGTTAATTCATAATACGATTGTAAATTTGATTAAGTATTTATTATTAAAGTAATTAAGGATCACAATAGGTCACTACAAGTTTATTGAGTTAGAAGATTCAATTGTTAAGCTATTACTGTCGTTCTGAACAACATCATTTCCCCCTAATTCATGATGTAAATCAAAGAACGTAACAACAACGATGAGTGAAATAGTATTCTATTATTTGTTTTTAATCGAACTTGTAATCCATAATTTTATCGATGAATAAACTGTTAATTGAGATCATGAACTGATCAATATTAGACCACCATTGAAAACCTGAAATCACTGAACGGCCGTTTCGTGCTGCCGATGAGTTACATAATAGGCCGAAACGGACGTCCAGCGCTTCCAGGTTCTCACTGATGGTCTAACTTTAATCGATTCATGATCTCAATTTAAACTCAACAATCTTCACAGTCCTACATTGATTAAGTCACAGAAAAATGTATTATCCTTAGCTGAGAACTTTGATTCAATAAATCGACAAATCATAATCATGAAATCGGAATTTGTTAATTTTGTGATCATATTTCAAAGAGAAAAACTTGAGATCATGAGACGAAAAAAATTTCGATGTAATGAAATATCAAGCTCAATACAAAACTGGTGTTTGTGATCAGTAAATTCCTTTTAGTCCTTACGTTAATTACATTTTTTATTGAACAATTAGTTTGAATAATGTCATTCACTAACCAAAGAAATCCTCTCAATTTTCTGCTTCAATTATTGAACAAGATAACAATGACATTGATTTGTTAAGACTAGTTAACCATTCACTCAAAAAATTATGTCTAGAATTCTAATTTAATCTAATTTATACTACAGACTGATCAATTAAATAGTCATTGAAAACCAGGAAGCCCTTTACGGCAGTTTGGTTCTAGGCCGCGAATCGAACTCATGACTTTCTATCTCGTGCGTGAACGTTTATCCTGTAGTTCAATAGACTGGAATCCAAAGATGAACAACTCTAACTCCAATCAATCCACGGTACTGAATGACTGTTTTTCATTGTCTTCAGTGGGTAATTTCTTAATACCCGACACCGTTAAACTCTACTGGTTACAATTCGTTAGATCTTCAGAAGCACATTCAGAAATCAGTCACTAGTAAGTACACGATTATTATCAGCACAGAATTTTGTGAGGACTGTTGAATTTTATTAAGAAATTTTTACAGTGAAAACGATGAAAAATGGTCGTTCAATAGCGTGGATTGATTGAAGTTTGAATTGTTCACCTTTGGATTCCAGTCTATCGAGATCGAAAGTCCTGAATTCGATTCCAGGCTTTCAAGTCATGAACACGCACTTCTGGTAAGTCCTATACTGGAACCAAACTGCCGTACATGGTTTTCTGGTTGACTATTTTAGATAGGTTTGTGATCTAAATATTACAATAATAATTGAAAATAAATCGAACGTAATTACATCATTAAACGATAGGATAAACACTAAACCAGTAAATGAAAACCAGTTTTAAACTTAAGGCCTTGAAAAGGCGGATAAAACAAACTTTTCACTATACAAATGGTAATCTTTATCATGTTGTTATTTAAAATCAGCTTTTATTTTAGAACAATCGATTTTCTTTTAACCATTTGTAAATAATATTGGAGAGAAATAACAACTAATATCCAGTCGTAAACAAAAGTTATTTTCATTGAAATCATTCCTCTCATTTTATTGTTTATTGTTGATAAAGAAAAACAATCAAGTAGGATAGTTCGTTGAAAAAGCTTGGATCAGATTACCATGTGAAATGTTGGATTCACTTCAAAAATACAAATACAATTCTTTCTCTTTAATCAGTAGGAAGTTTTAAATGTTTTTGTAAAACTTGACAGTATGAAATATTTACAATCATAATGAAGCTGTTATTATTATTTACATAATTCAAACGTATATACCTGACTATGAAATTTCCAAATAGAATATTTTTTTTAAGGGAACATATTAACTATGTACAGAATTTGGCTTAGATATGTAGATGATACATTTGTTATGATAAAAAAAGGACTCATCTAGGATCTTTTTCAAAACAGATCAATACACTTTCCTCTCACATGAAATTCATGAACGCGAATGAAAATGAACATGGTGAGCTACCATTTTTAGTTTGCTTAATGAAAAGAAATCTAAATTGAATTCTAAATCTATTCATCTATCGAAAACCTACACACTCGAATTGCTATATTGACTTCTATTCAGTACATCCTTTCAGTGGCGAGATCTCGCTAGCCTTAAATCTTTTTAGAAGAGCTAACAAGATCATCACATCAGAAGAGGATAAACAAAAAGAACAAAAGAATGTAATTAGCATTTTACAGGTTAATAATTTTCCTATAAAGATTATTAGAAGTTTATTAAAACAAGACATTTCAATGCGTAATAATAATAATAATTCGAATGAATTGCCATGGATTGTTGCTGCAGTTTCATCATACCGTCATGGCACAACAGAATAACTCCAAAGAATCTTGTAACAACACGGAATTAAAGTATATTACAAAACAACTTTAGTTCGCTTAAAAGAAAAAATCCCATTCATGTCAACACAGAACTGTGTCTACAAATTAGGTTGTGTCGATTGTGGTGCCTTCTATATTGGAAAGTCATCTCGTGACATCTTGACTCGTGCCAAAGAACATATTAGGTACACAAAGAAACCTCCTAATAATCCCGTAAAACTGGATAGACTTCAAAAATTAAGTCGATAATAGCAGTTCATGCCATTTTCAACGAAAAACAAATCGATTTCAATAATATCAGAATATTACAAAAAGGCTTTTCCAATTACAAAAAGGCGAGTAGCTGAAGCGTTCCATATCATGCTTAATCCTACTGCTCTCAATAGAAAAGAAGGCCTCACTATACATCCTATCTATCCTTGCCACCTAGTCTGATATTGTTCACAATTCACACTGTTACCTTACAAATTAAACTCTATCCTTTCTCATCATAAAGGTCACACAATTTTCATCCTTAACAGTGCACACATACAAACACACAAATTTGCATACATGTCACTTATGAATCACCTTGACCGAAATGACATGACATTGATTTATTCAGACCTGTATTTTGATTAATCACATAATATTTGTGTTGTTCTGTCGTACTATTTAAACTTGGATTAATTTTAATTTGGTTATTTATTCTCTGAAGAAGTGGCTTACACTAAGTCACGAAACGTCAGAAAATCTAATTTTTCTACTCATTGGGATATTACAGATATATTATTTATTTATGTGCAGAATAGATGAATCAGTAGTCCTACTTGGAACTCTTTAATGGAAAGTATTTGTAGCTCAATGTTCAAATCCAGTACCAGTGATTTCAATCGTCAACGTAGTATTCACTAATATTAAATGTTAGGGACGAGATTATTGAAAAGTTTGTTAATAATGGTATATACAACCATGCAGCATCAAATTGATGACTTAGTTGTTCAAGCATTTAGTTTTCTACTATTAAGTTATAGTTTCATTCGTCATTCAATCATTTTGGTTAACCTAGTCATATGCTATTGTTAAGTCACATGGAAACTGCATAGCTCAAGGATGAGTATACAGTCAAGATGTTTGACAAATATAGTTGCAATATAAGAATAACATGTTTAATCACTCAAATTGTTACTTATGCGATGGGAATTATTTGACAGACCTTGATAGTCATAAGTATCGTCTTTTAAGCAAATCTTCAACATTCTTATTGAAAATGGTTTGACTCTTCAAGGCTATCTAAGTCTCTACAACAACCAAGTTTCATGTTCTTTGATGGTCAAAGGCAATTTTTACTTAATTGGTTCGCCAATATTTTTATGTGGTCGGTTTATCATTTTAATACCGAATATACTGCAAATACATATATATGTAATACACCTAAATTAAAATTATTCTTTACGCCATACTTAATTTCTAAGGTTGATTAGTAAGGGGCTAATTATGGGGGTAGGAAGTTGTTTTAGTTAAAATTGTATCAAGAATTTGTTACACGACAGACAAAATCAAACAGTTTATCAAAATAAAGTGGTCTGATTTTACGGAAAACAAACAACACTAATCATACTATTACGCAATATATAAGGGGTTACACAGGACAGAGTTCGATGGAGTATGTTGGTGGCCGGCTAGTACTCCTTCACGAGGGGTAAAAGGCATAAGTAGGTAAGTCTCATTTATGTAAGTTTACGAATCAACTGATATAAGATTATTTTTCAGACAAACTAAGGAAAAATGATGTATGAAGTTGTATTGGACAGACATTGTTACAGAAACCATCAGATATTTTTTCCATTTATCATACTTTGGTAGGTCGATTTTGTTTTCCACGTATTGTTGATAAAGTTTGTCAAATTTACAATTATAGTTTCATTTTTATGATAGGATCTTGTTTCTTACTCAATCACTCTCCTTCTCGCTCTTTCTTTGGGTTTTCAATAAACTGAAAAGTCATACTGTCAAGCATGACGGTCGATAATAAATTACTGTATATATGTGTAAAATCGCATGGGAGACAAACTAGTCAAGTTGTGACACTTCAGAATATTCATGACTACATTGCTAATTGAAAAAAATGGTATAGAAATGAATTTCAGATAGATTTTTCAGCTGTTTTAGAGGATTAAAAGACAATAATTGAAATCAGTTCGAATATCAAGTCGAAATTTAGTTCAAAATGAATCGTTCTGAGTAAACTATCGATATTTTGATCACAGGTCAGTTAAACGTACAATATTATTCTCGTTTTGTATATGGATTTTTAGAAATCATTCAGTTTTATGGTTTGGATCACAGAATGACTTTAGTTAGACAACTGTTGGAAACCGGGAACTACTAGATAGTTGTTTCTTTCTAATATAGAACATAACATCAACTCTGATCCACAACCTAGCTGTAGATCGAACCGAGAACTTTCAGGTTTCAGGAGATCGCTCAGTGTATAGACCACTGATGGTTTGCGTGTTCAACTCCAATCAGTTCACAAGATTTCTTGCCACGAAACCTGAAACTGTTGAGTTCGATCTCCAGTGGAAATAAGAACGCATACTAGTGAGAAATCCTTTATTACAACAAAACAACTATCTAGTAATTCCTAGTTTCCTATGATTTTCTAACTACCATGATTATGTGATGTAAACTATAAAATATTGTTTTTATTTTACTACATCCTTATGTATCAGAAATTACTAGAAATTGTGTTAAAATTTCCGAACATCTTATAAAATGAAATACTTCTAAAATTAGGAAAGAAAGCAGATTTGTGTCATTACTGCCAGTGATCACAGAAAATTTTTATTGGAATAACAACTGATTAATAGTTTAACCTTATTTTTATCTCAAATGTTTACTTTTTGAAATGATTTGATCATGTGCACACGATAAGATGATGGTTGAATTTAGTCAACGGGAAACTCTGGACCTATGTTTTGTGCTACATAGCGCTCGTCAGCAGGGTGTACCTGTAATCTTAAGGGAACTGATACTATCTAAATGATTTGATCTTGTGTCATCTTGCTTCCCATTCAGAGACGTTATCACTGAGATATTCAGGCCACGACCGGCCTCCTGTAGGACTGAGACGTATTTAACATTGATTGGTCACTGGGTGTATGTCAGGTCCTTCTTAGTGCAAATCAAATCCTATCACCATTTTGAAAGGTATCCATTTTTTTCTACTAGAAAGTAAGTAAGTAATGAATCAGATCGGTTTTAATTGAAGTTATCAGCTGATAATATGTCGCGTCATTTTAGGGAACGATCGGTTGAATTTTCACTCTGAACATATCCAATCAAGTATATTTGAAAAAAGAAAGAAAATAATGTGTATTATCCAGAATACCTGAAGATGGTGTATCTTCAAAATAAACTCTTCGGATAGGGTACAATTTTAAATTTGCTTCAGTGATAGATCAATATAAATCCGTTGAATAAAATGAATTCATTGTTGTATAGAGAGTATGAGGAGATTTTCGGATTTGATAATTTATATCATAAAATGACTTTAATTAGAGAACTGTTCAATACCAATATATAACAAACATCTGTTTTGTCTTAGTACCGAACCCTTCAGTAGTTTTCATCTTAAACTCAATCAGTAACTGAACCCAAGACTCTCAGATCTTGTAGAGAGCGACTAAACTTTAGACTACTGAATCGAGATCCAATGGTTTAAATTGTTAAAATAAACTTAATTGTCTTGCTAAATATATATATATGCATCACTTACCTGTAACCCTGTAATAGTGCTTCTTGACAATCTCTATCAATATAATCAACCATGGTTCGATTAAAATGTACAATTTGTCCAAATAATGGCCATCTACGTACTCCACCAACAGCACTGCCTGAAGTTAATGGCATACCAAGTTTTGGTGTCTGTGTACCACCTAAACGTCCTAATATAGACCAATCAGAAGTATTTTTTGCCAGTTGTCCTCTATTTATTAAATATTCTGGGCTAACATAAGCAAAACGACATTCTTCTTTATCTAAATTGTAACTAGATAAATGAAAATATTATTTAAAAAGAAATGCGAAGGTTAGATGCTTACGAATGACATGGAAATTAATTGATTTTTGAAAATGATTACAGATGAACATGAATAGACTGATATCATCCGAGGAATCATTGAAAGTCCAGAAAATGTAAACATCTTTTTATCCAAATCAAGAACTCTAAGTCAATATACACTAACGATCATATCAGTGATCAAACTTGAGTTAGTTGTCCATGATAACTGTTTTGATTCTAGACTTGGTTTATTTGTTAAACTGAATGTCCTTCGAAAACTGGATTTAAGTTAAGGTGATTGATTACATTATTTTAATTCCAGTGATTACATAAACTTTGAAATTTAAGATATTGTAAGCGACGATGGATAGCGGCTAGCAGTGAAATCCACGACACGCGTTTCGTCCTAATTCGGATTGGTCTGCTGGGTGTACCAACTAGAGGCTTATCAGTTGCAGTCCTAAACATCAATGGGAAGACTGAAATCAACAATACCAAGTGAATGTAAGATATTGGTTCAGTGCTAAGGGTTTTATTTTTTGTATGTTTACCGAATCTATATCTTTGCCACATCAGTTCACTATGTTTGAACACTAGGTTCTTTTGAGTTCCATTTGTGTTGTTTTTTTTCCACACAGTATCCACTGATGAATTTTATTATTTTTCAAAAATAGTATTTGATTTAAGCTAAATTTCAAACGTTACATTTTTATTTTGTACAAACGTTGATAACGTTCAGTGGGTGAGACTATAATTTATGGACGACGTTTGAGCGAAGCTAGACTGATATTGAGAGTGTCCACCTAACAACTAGAACCAAATGAGGGTTGTAAATTAGTGTGAGGAATTAGAATTATGATTTACAGTTGATGGTTAATGTTCGGAATTAGATTTAGGGTTTTCATTCAGCTAAATGGTCGAGTGAATTTCGCGCCAAAATCCGAGACTTGTTATCTTATACCTGATTGGTTCGTCCATAAATTATAGTCTCGTCGGTTCAGTGAATGTCTAAATAACAAATTTAAAAAAAAACAATCATTATTTGTAAATGATTTTCATTAAAGATTGTTATCAATTGATTGATAAAACACTGAAAAACAAAGAATACAGAATATCTCTTGTCAGTAATAAGTACCCATGACAGTAATATATAATGATCGTCAGGCTGCATAGCGAATCGTCTGAGATTAGAACTGTGGACCTTTCGACAGTAACTTAGTAATATGAAAGAAATACTCTTGTCAAGAAAACGTTGGTTCGATTTCTACTTGGATATGTCGATTGACAATCCAGAGAATCCCCATTCAAGTTGAATCGTTCAATCCAACTCACTATTTGTAAACGAATGTATGTTTATGATTAGTTGATTTTATTGAGAAATCGTGGCATTTGAGTATTTTATTTATTACAGAGTAAATATTTCTGTTTAACATGAATTTCACAATTAATATTTAACCAATAACTGATAGGACAACTCTCAACTCTCATTATGTAGATGAGGTCATAACTATTAAATCCAATGGACTTAAATGACATTTTATATCAAATAACTGAATTATTGATCTTAAGAAAAAACTTGGGTTGTGACCTTTAATGTAAATTTGGGGTTCTTCACTTACTACTACTGTAGAAAATGAGAACACACAAGTGGGGACAACCAAGTGAATTTTAATACGAAATGACAGAATATATTGGTAAAATCTGAAAACCATACAGTAAATAATTCATTTACAAAATATTCATCAAATGTCTCAGACTCTGATGTTCCCTCATTTCCATACTAATCTCTCCCTTTTCTCGTTCTCTCCTCTTCGATTTTCTCAACCTTCTGCTGCTAGGCCTTCTACTTTCGGCTGGTAATAAATGCGACTTATCTCTATCGACATCAGTAGCACACACCACACTACTACCGTTATTTTTAACAGTATGCATTAATAAACAAAATATTTAACAGTGAATTAAAAAATTGTACAATTTTATTGACTTAATTCTTACCGTATCTTCAAAATATCTGAACTGATACTTTCACTTGTAGCTCGAAGATTTTTCACTGTTAACTCTTTCAATAATTGAATTCTACTTTGTGGTATTGGACCTATTAAATAACCTTGTTTCATTTTAAGCTTTTTATCGTCATCATTATTGTCATTCATTGTATTAGTATTATTGTTATTATGAATAACTTGATTAGTAACATTGTCCATATCATAATTATTGATTAAATGTGTTGGTGGGTCCTCTATATCGATCATTATATCAACAGTTTGTACAACTGAATTATTGTTACGAAAGAAAAAGATGGTCACTTGTACATGATCATGATTTATAAGTGGATTGCCTTCATGACGATAAATCACGTCTCCATTAGCAAAAGAACAGTCAAATTTCTAAAAAGTAAAGATGAATGAAGAGAAAATTAAAACGATGATGTGATGACATTTAGAAAGATATATTATGATCCTGTTAAGAATTCCATTGTGAATATTGTCAAGCTAAACATTGATGCGTTTAAGTCTAATACACAGAATTCAGTCTTAAACTGATGATTGTTATAGTTACAAATCTGCATGAATTTCTCATTCAAACTATTTTTAAGAGAGTTCTTTTGATTATGTTGATAATCTTATACCATTATTTACACAACAACAAGTGACTAGAGTTGGACGTATATATTCAAAGATCAAACTGTTGATTGACTCGTGTTCTTTATTTTTGAATAGTTATTCAGTTTAGTAAATGAATGTTCATTGCGCAAGTGTACAGTTTGTACAGTCAATGTAATCTGCTTCAAAATAGCAAGTAAACTGATGAACGAATATCATGATGGCCAAAAGTAAAAAAAGTCTGAAGCTAGAACAGTTGACTAGTTTAATACCTGATTCTACACGATTGTTGTATTACTTATAAGTACTCTAAAAGAAACAGTTCATTTTCCTGTATAATGAATTAAATATATACACTTAAGTTGAGTATAGAAAGAAAAATTATAAATCTGTATGGTTACGAGGAATGAAACATTTAATCCAAGTCATTGTTTGTTTAAATTCACATTCTATAGTTATTGTTTACTGAATCAAAATGTCTTATCACAAATACATTATTAGAGTTGTATTTTCTTATGGGAACTTTACATTATGAACTGAAATCAATTCAACCATGTTGAATGTGAGGGAATTATTTTTAAAAATGGCATAAGAAGATGGTTGGGTGATATCTTAAATTATTTGGAACTAGAAATGTAAGGCATTAATTACCTGTTCAATGATCTAAATAACCTAAATACTTAAGGTAAGATTGAAGCTAGACCACCATGGAAAACCTGGAAGCACTGGACGGCCGTTTCGCCCCAGCATGGGACTCCTCAGCGGCGCGCGTCCACGATCCCGTGCCCCGGGAGGTTCGAACCGAGGACCTACCAGTCTCGCACCAGGCGCTTAACCAAATAGACCACTGAGCCGGCAGCCGACGGTGTTAATGTCTAACTTCAACCAATTCACGAAGTTGCGCCACCGTACACCATTGTCTTCAGTGAGTTGATATCTCACAACAGTCCTTCAGTTATTATGTTAAATGTGGGAGGATCTTGACTCATAGCACATTAATGTCTTTTTAATATGTTCAGCTACTTAATGTAACCTTCAATGACAACCAGCGAGTTCAATGATTACTGATTTAATCTTGCGTGGAGACTCTCCCAATACCTCAAATAAATAATCTGTATAGTGACTCTGACTGACTTCACAGACATTTCCTTTTACATGATTCAATCAGGGAAAGACGAGAAATTATCAGTACTGAACTCTGTATTGAAGAATACTCTAATTCATAAAAGATATATGATTAAGTATTTGGACAACTGGACCATATTACAAAATAATTAAAAAATATATACGATATATACTAAAAACACGGTAATTATGTTAAAAATTGGAATATTAGGTTCATCCTTAAAATTCTAACAACTTTGTGACAGAAGAAAGTATATTAACAGTATTTAAATCAGGTGAAAACTTGGAACTTGAGGAATATAAAGAATGCATATATATACTAACTGTTGTGACTTTAAGCCCGGCTAGTTATCACGTGATTTATTTGCCAATTGAGATCCGACTTATTCAATCTTAGTACTGTGCCAAACCAATCACACTCGACTGGTATGAGCAGCCTAGAGTCCTTATTGATCATTTTTTTCTCTTAGCCCTGCCAGTTGAGTCCAGAGCACAAATACTGGCTTCCACTATGCGAATCATTTATTTCAAACATACTTGGTTTATATACCAGGCAAACAGACCGCATCACACCATAAAATAGGAAATAACATATATATAACTTTTAGTCCATTAATAGTTCTCAAAAGTTACCCGCAATTTAGTCTTCACTAGGATATAACACTAACTGTAAATCATAATTAAATATCATAAAATCAAGGTAACAATTTTACGGAGTTTGTCATCATTATAACATAGAACTCATTTTCTTAATAAAATTGTTTCTTAACACTAATAGAATTGTAGTGAATGAGAGCGCCAGTGGGACCAACCAAGTGTGTCTTAGTACAAAATTTCAGCATCACTTAGTAAAATTTGAGAACCATATCGTAAATAATTCATTTACAAAATATACATCAATTGCCCCAAACATTTTTGTTCCTTCATTCCTATATCAATCACTTTCTGTTCTCGCTCTCTTCTATTCGATCTTTGCAACCTTCTGCTTCCGGGTATTCCATTTCTGATTGATGTTGTTTACTAATTATGTCGACATAAGTAGCATGCGCCACATAATTATTTAGAAAAGCGGCTGAAAAACTATCCTCAGAAAGTAAGGATAAATGTCCAGTATATTTTGACATTACCTACAATCGCATTTTCTTACTTATTCCACATTATTTCTCTTTTTACAATTAATTAAAATAAAAAATGACAAGAAAGAATAAATTATTAGTATGTTTAAGTATGATTTATATGAGCGGATTGAAGTGAACAGCATGGAATTGAAATGATATAAATAGTTGAACAGTGCGGATCATTATCAATTTTGGCGATGATGACTATGATAATTGGAAGAACCACAATTGGTGTCTGTTATATCTAAAGATTAGATTCTTAATACACCGTGTATAACTTGAGCACCAGAATTCTAGGACCTTCCGAATCTCAAATAAGAAGACAGCAGACAATTGAAAGGAATGCTATTCCAAACAGTGTCAAATATGATACAAAACTGTCAGGTATTTATAGTTTTCAGTGAAAACGAAATCATCATTATAATCATCCAATTCGCATACAGTGGTTTTTCACCATTTGTCCATTAGGATAGCTGTATGTGGAGATTCTGGAATATCTTCAGCTCTTTCTGAGCTTCTTAGAGCTTCCTCGAGATCATCTGTGGGCCGTCCTCCCAGTGTCATTTCAAACAGTCCGGATAAGGTTGAACTGAATATGTTTAATGTTTTATTTAAATTAGACAGTAAACTTTGATTTCTAAATTAGAACTATGTTTACTTCATGAACATTATGTAAAAACCATTTAGTTCTTTTGTATTTGTTTACAAAGTCTAGTTATTTTTAACAATAATAATAGTAATATTAAGTAAATGGAATTAACATTGTGAAATGAAAGTACATTTCGTTACACATTGAGAAAAAAAGGTTAGATGTTTTATAAATAATTACAATAAAACCCAGTTTCGCAGTTTCAGATGTTACCACTGACTTATTTATCTTGTGGCTAGCGTTCCCTAGTCATGAAGCAGTTATAGTTCATTAATCATTGCTTAGTGATCAATGAATGACGTATCTCTCTACCCCTCTATGATGATCGAATGTGATCAGTCAAGTCAGTTAGACTAATGGCCAAAATACAACTTGTTTTATTGGATTTAATTAGCACTAGGGGACTAGACAAACATGAAATTCATTTCTACACTCTAAAATCAATCCATTATGAATATATTTAACAATTGATTGAACAAATATTCAATAACATTATGTAATAGATAACTAATTGGCTTATGAGTGTTTCAAATCAATTGATAATAACATATCATTACAAAACAGTTGGATGGAAAATGCTAATGAGCGGCCCTTACTCCTCCATGAGAGGCAATAGACGTAAGGAAGTGAGTGACAAAGGAAATTTCATTTCTTGTAATTTGTTGAAATTTTTCTACATGATGCTATTATTATTATTATTATCATTATTTAAATACATAAACATTGGTACAACGCGGCAACAAATATATATATATGCAAATCATTTGATTTGTGTAAAGTCTAAGATACTGTCCAAGAGCCCAAACCAAAACAGGAGATTGTAATCTCACATCAATCAAGTACACTGTCTACTGAATGTTGTATAAATCAAGTTTCATTTTTCTTATTACGTCATTTAAGTACTTCAGTTAATTTTTTTTTTAAATCTGACTTGAATTCATTCGATTTTCTTTCTTTCTTTTCTTCCTTCCTTCTTTCCTTCTTTCTTTCTTCTACTTCTTCATTATATTTATGAAAAAAATAACAGAATGTATAGATGAATATGAAACTATTCCATATAAAAACTAATTAGAAACCGAATAATTTAGTTCATAATTTTATGATCAATTGTTTGTTTTTTCTCTCTTTCCATAGAAAATAATAATAAAGATTTATAGTGATATTTTATATTAATTCTTATAAGGTGTTTATGTATTTCTATGTGTGAATTTGTACTACTTAAATCAAAATATTATCAATGTAGATATGTTATCCAATAAAAAAAAACGAAACAAAAACAAAACAGATCAGATACAAAGTATGTAAGAATGTACTTTACATTAAATAGTTTATATTATGAAGTTAACTGTTCTGTTTTTATACATTGTTTTAATGTGATATACATCAACAATTATGCCTATAAAATATACACTAATAGTCTAGATATATTATGGTGAAAAATAAACTTTTCGAAGTTTCAATTATGAAACATTTATAGTTAGGAAACTTAACAGTATCCACCTGTTTCAGTCTGGACACCCGGGCAGTATCACAGCCCTCACACATATCAAATGAGATCTGTGTGACGCATATGTATTTGGTGCCTCCTTGTACCAATATCTACGTGTTAAAATAAATAAATAAATAACAATATCTTCGAACCAGTTACACAAATAATAATCATACGTTCATTAATGATTAGTTTCAAGAAATAACTCTTCACATTCTATTGAAAACGTAAGATTTCTGGAGTTCACCAATATTGAACTTGAGCTGGTTACTTACAAATGGAATTAGATGATAGTTGCTCAGTGTTGAAAATGATTTGAATTTTAAGAAATGTAAACCATTGGATTTCATTTCTGCAACCTAAAAGTCTAGCGCTTATCGCAAGACTTTATTGTTCTGGGTTCAACCCCCAGAGAGACTGCATATATCCACTGTTGCCTTCTAATTTTCAGTGGGCGTTTAATTAAGATCATTTTGCGATGTAAACTGTAAATGTCTACCATTTCTACAACCTTCTTACACAAATAATCAAACCCTTACGTTTAGACTTAAGTTCATGTTTGAAAAATAAAGCTGATTCGCGAAAAAGTGAACTAATCACATAGTATTAATTTTGATTCACATTACGCGCGATAACACTTTGTTATTCTATTATCATTTTACACTGATAATTGGACAATTGTTATACGGTCAAATGAAAAATCACAGAAAAATTTGGTTCTTCCATTCAACTAATTTCATTGAAAATTCAAATAAAGAGCACAAAGTCAAATAACCAAGAAATTATTTATTGGTTATCATGATGTTTCACTTTGTAGGATAATAAAATAATCAAGATATAACCGGAATCTAAACTGAAAACAGTGCATTATGAGCAGAACCCACATTTCGTCCTATATTTTACTCGTTAGATAGATTTTCTTGCATCCCAGAAATAAAGTTCACCCAAGGGACTCGTAACCATCATTGCTCGCTTCATTACATTGAATACTACTATAGTTTAAGGTATTGTATATTTTATGACCTGATTGAAACTAATAAAAAAACGTTTTGGTCGAAATTTCAATAAATATACTCACTTATTGACATGGAAATAATCATTGTCTATTTGAAAAGATTATGGATAGTTATAAAATTTGGTACAGTTAGTTTCAGCTTAATGAATTGCGGAGTAACAAAAGATTTAAATCCTCGTTATGTAGCTTATCAACTTAATTCATTTAAAAGTTTATATCCTGATCGTAGTAAAACAACCATTGATAACCACAAAGCCCTAGACAGCTGATTCATCATAGTATAGAATCACTCTGGAAGGTGCATCCATGATTTTACTGGACATCAAACATAGAATCTTCATTTAACTTATTATTCATTAGTTTACACACCTATCAGTTTAATTTTTGTAACTGGGCTAACAACAATGAAGATGATTAGTTAGATTTATTCCATCGTCCCCCCCGTCGAAAAAAAACTGATAACCTAAAATAAGTTCAAACATCTGCTAAACACTTCATGTGTTATCTTATTGATAATTTATATGCTATTTTTAAATAATAAATAATACCAATCTTTGAATTCACTTGGCACTGAGTTCGAGTCTCTTAATGAACAACGATTCAAGGATACAAGTATATTCAGATGATAAATTTCAAATAAGCAGTAACACGCATCTTGGATTCTACTAATTGCTTATAATAACAATCTTTTCACTTATACACCGAAACAAAAGATTAATTTTACACAATTGAATATTAATGTAATGAATATATATATATATATATATATATATATATATATATATATATATATATATATATATGTATATATTTATATTTAGTTAGTGAACTTATCACTTACAATACACTAACGTTTCCATTATAAGTGTCAATGTAATTTAATAATTGAAATCACAAGTTCATTGAAATTAGATCACTATAGAAAACCTGAAAGTACTGGATGACCGTTTCGTCCTATTATGGGACTCTTCAGCAGTGCGCATAGTTTTTTTTGGTTTTTCAGAATTGATTTAAATTAATTTTTTCTTGATTTATTATATTGTCATTTGTAAAATTATTGAAAATGATTATTTATTTAAGAAATTATAAATGAAATCCAACAATGATGATTCATTGAATTGACAATAACAACAATAACAACAAAAAATATGATTAATGATCCTTAATTTATCATAGTTAATTGAGTTTTCCTAGAAGAACATTACAGTAAACAAGATTTATGTAATAATAGTTTTACTATTATGTAAATGACAAATGTCGTTAATCTTAAAACGAATGAATACTTGGGAAAATAATGATAAATAATGAAATGTATCTTTATGGATTATGTTAAAAGTAAAACAATTCATTTGGTTTTTTTTTTACTTGAATCTTCGTATTGATGTTTAAGACTGTAATTGATCAGTCACTTATTGGCATATGTACATCCTGTGCGTATTGTCTTAATTCACAAATATTCTAAGCCAAGATGGATAATGGCTAGCAGTGGTAATATTGAGGCAATACGATGAGTATGCACATATATCAATAAGAGAGTGACTGATCAATTTCAGTCCTAAACATTAATGGGAAGATTTAAATAAACAATATCAAGTGAATTTAGACTTTACCCGATTGCACAAGCAAGTGGCTATCAGGACTCAGTGGCTAAGTGGATAACGAGATGGTGTTTGGAGCGTAAGATACTGAGTTCGAGTCCTAGAGTGAACATCGACTCTGGAATGCAGGTAAATCCATCTGACGAGTCCCAAATAGGACGGAACGTGCGTCCTGGATTCTACTGTTAGCCACAATCTATCTTTGCTTAGTATGTTAAAAGTAATTGGAGTGAAAATATATTTTTCATTATTCGAGCTGAATAGTCACAATTATGTGCCTTTTTCATGAATATTCAGTAATCTTATATAAAATAGAAAGAAAGAATTCCCCTAGAAAAGATTTCACTTAAAGATGAATATTCATCAAATATTCTAGACTTGATGAAAAGAACTTAGCTTTCAAGCATCATGTAATAGTTGAACTTCATAATGAATTAACCGTTCAGTTCACGAAGCGAACCTTAAACGTCCATAGAAAGGTATTTGTTGAAGTAAGAATCTGTGTTTTTCATCTAAATATTAATTTCGCGTTATCTAAGAATCATATTACTCTTTCATTCGACTACATTATTCCTCATATGTATCAGTACGTATGTGGTGTGTGCTACTGATGTTGACAGATATAACTAGTATGTATTACCAGTCGAAAGTAGAGTGCCTGGCAGCAGGTGGTTGAGAAGATCGAAGAAAAGAAATCGAAAACAGAATGATTGGTATAAAAATGAAAGAATACCAAATTCTGAGACACTTAATGGATATTTTGCAAACGAATTATTTACTGTATGGCTCTCAGATTTTACTAAGAGATTCTGAAATACATTTGGGTGTCCTCAAAGATGTTCTCGTTCACTACACAGGTACCTCTACGTTGCTAGATAAATCAATCGTTATATAATTGATAAAATAATCAGAAGCGCCAATTCAGATATTTTATCATTTCTAGTCATTTATTTTCAGACTGTTCTAACTGTTATAACGAGATAATTGCCTGAAGCGATGTGAACAGTGTAGCTGAATGATGATTAATGATAAAAATCATATTAACGACACAAAGTTCCGAATGAAGAGAAATAAAAAAGAAAGAATTAATTAAAAGCGTTCAATTAATTCATGAGAAGAGATGAACCTTCTTTCACTCATCATTTATATCTCGTTATTGATCGTATGAACGACCCTAGAAAACATGTGTTCTTCATCCTCATGCCTTACCCGCGCCATAATTCCTCACTGAATAAATCTTTTACTTTTATTAGTTAGTTTTAATAATAAAAACTCTCTTAGATTATAATACCGCTTTTTTCAATTTGCTCTTAGATTATCACATTATTCTTTTATTCTATAAATGGTAAAGATTATAAAATTTTACATGTAACTGTGATTGATAAGCTTCGAAAAAAGAAAAGAAATCTAGCGTAAAGTAATCTTGTTACCGTTTACTTTGATTTAAAATCTTGATTGATGTAGTGATATGTAGGAAGAAAGCTATGGGAAAAACCAAGACGGGGCATCAGTTCATAAAGTCACTAAATGTATGTGCAGACCACGTGACTAGGGTCCACACAATTATCGTAGTCATTGGTTCTATACGGTCAAAAATCAGTCTCTGATAAACATGCGTTAATTTTTCGTTTACTTTATGATCTTAAACTTTTCAAATCGGCTTAAAAAGGATAGAAACCAAAACATATGTGTGCTAGAGGCAATGGTCATCCTCTAACCGAAGATTTTTTACGAAAGCAGTAGGTTTAACCCCTCGTTCTATCATGGTCTTGGCCTACCCTTATATCTTCCATAATCTATTATTTTTATTTGTTTTTCCTTTCAAATTACTTCACACAACTGCGAATTAACGATTATTATAATTTATACTTTTCAATGGGAATTTCATCTCAATCATCTAGATCTATCTACATGTCTTCTGTGAACATGCTACTGTAGAGCATCTCAACTTGCCAGATGAAAAAGCAAATAAATTAAAAGTTACACCTTAAAATAAAATCCTTAGGAAAAGTTATACTCTCATCTGCAGAATCTACTCATTACATGAACAAGATATTGCACATATATTGAAAATGTAAAGTACATTCATTACATATTCACATACACGCATTCTATCCCAATATCAATACTAAAACGAATACAAACTCTTATGAATATTAATGAATATAGTTCATGTTGAACATTTTGGGGGCTTCCTTGACTCATTAGTGTAGTAGACAATGAATTAGATCTTCAGTCTATGTCCATTACATTAAAGCCATAATATGAACATCGATAATGTAGTGCAGATATACCTAAATATATTTTATTGAGACACTATCCTAAAAAATATACTTAATACGTGACTACAAGTAATATTAAACGATTCACATAGGAAATCTTTATGTTGATAAAGTGATTAATTAAAATCTATACCAGAATACCAAGAACGATAGAATATAAATGAGATATTAATATAACTTACTTTAGGTTCTAAATGTCCAACCATTGATAATAACGGTTGAAATTCTTCAACTTCCACATGACAAACTTGTCCTTTTTGAGCACGTGGTAAAATAGGCAAATGTTCATGTAACAATGGTGCTGAATGTCCACGCCATACATGTAAATGTTGACGAATTACATCATTACGTAATAGACTATATCCATTTGATGCTGGTGAATCATTTGACATAAAGTCATCATGTGACTTTTGTGATTTTTCCTTACTACTACTACTACTGCTACTACTACTAGTATCTAACATATCAAAAGGAGAATTAGATCTTTGGAAATATTTCTCAGTTGAACATAAAGAAATGAATAAGTTAATGTATAATAAAAATGTTATAATGAATTTTGTTGTTATGTTTAGATTCATTTTTTTCCCTAACAGAATGCCAAAAGAAAGAAGTGTTAAATTAAAATGTAATTTCCAATGCAAGTCAATACAACTTAATTACATAGCTAGTAAATGTGTTCAAATGAAAGTATATAAGAATTTATGGGTTCCATGAACTAATTGAATTCGTTCGAATAAATCCCTATTTACATAAACTATCATAATATAACCAATCAGATTATTGGTGTTATTTTAACCAACCAAAATAATTGTGTCAAAAGTATTATTTTATGTGAAAATTATATTTGAAATAATGCGAGCGATTAAAATTTAAATAATTCGAATGTTTCGTCCATTCAACTTGTCTGAACTTCTTCAGGGTAACAACCAAAATCAAAATCATCAGTCGCTGAGATTATATTTTCATATATAATGACTTCTTTATACTCGGCGCTCAATTTCTGTCAAACTATTCGTTCTAATCTTGATGAATATTCGTCTAAGAGTTTTTTTCTTCAATTTGTGCAGTTTTAACTAGAGTAGATTTTTAGTGAGGGGAACTAGTACTAATCCGTACAGAAAAATTTTCAATGTAAGTTAAATAAGTACTTAGTATGAATGTGTTTCACAAGTTAGATACTAAAATGAACTAACTAAGTATATTTGCCATATCCATACAGTGTGTTAACAAATTCAGTGATTTTATATTCCAATAGTTATCAGATAATTTAATGCAAATGAATGATAAACAGATTTCTAATGATATAACTTGATAAATTTGACACCGCTACATTTTTCACAAATCAGCAGTTTGATGGCTTTGCTTTTATTATGATAGATTTGTGAAATTAGAGTTGATAATTTTTAGTTTTTATTTATTTATTTAAACACATGAATATTGGTACAAGGAGGCATCGAATACATATTCGTCACATTTCATCATTCGATTTGTGTGAGGGTTTGAACACTGTGTGGGCGCCCAAAGTGAAGCAGGTAGTTTACTTAGGGGGTCACTCAATGAACCTTTGATCTGGATGTTTAATCCACAAGACAATGGGGCAACGTCAAGAGATGCAGTTCCATCGTAGCCTGTGACCAACAATAGGTTCCATTTTCTAGTTTAGTTAGAGAAATGATAACATTCACGTTTAGAGTGTAGGTATGTAAATATTTATTTCCAAACTATTTTCATTTTTTAAAATTGTTCAACAATCAGTATGTCTTGAGTTTCATTGTTTTGTACTAATGCAAAAAGAAATGATGAAGAAATGGAAATATTTTGGTACAGTTATCGTAATATATTTAAGTTCTTGTCAATGCCCGTTTGATTGTTTTACCATTGTGATGACCTGTTCCATATTGTATCAGTAGATCATATTCCTTTGACACAAATATGATCTGATCAATAAGGAAATAAACTGGTTGAGATACCAGGTACCTCTCCAAGTATCATTAGTAGTCAGACTGATTTCATAAACCTCGAATAACAGGCTTCAATATTTCATGAGTATTATAATTGAAAAATAGGGTTTGATACATTTGTCATCCGGTTGAATAATTTACCACACTATAAAAACGATTCGCATACCACTTTTAGCAAGAGGTCATAATACTACTCCAGAGAATTCCCTTTTCTGATGATTATTTTACTTTGAAAAACGCGATGACAGTAATACTTGGTTCATGAAAGTGAAGAACATGTGTATCAATAGTTAAAGTTCTGCATAAAGACCATAAATTAATTGACGTTGTTCGGCATCATTATCAACAGAGATATCTAGAATATTTGGTACATATGTCCAACAAAAATGCTAGTTAATTTAGATATAGATTGGAAGAAGATTTGTCGTGATAAAATCACGGTGTGATATCAGTTCTTAAAGTCAATAACGGAAGGTGAAGTTTTACTAGTTCTAGCATGGACAAATAAGATTATATCCGATTGGAAACCTTGAGTAAATCGACTTAGAATCCATCACAATGAAGTAAGTATTTATCTTGTTAACTGTTAATCTTTGCACTGTTGTTAGGATCCGGGAATCCGTCTCAAAAGAAATCTATATTAAACATGAAGTAATAAGATTTTCAAAAATACTTCAGTAACTATAACGTATAGTACTAGATTTAAAGTAAATAGTGTATATTATAAAAGAAAAACATGGTACACTATGAGCAAAGCTTATCAAGTTATAGAAAGTTACATCGAATGCATGGCAAGTTAAGATTTCATTATAGATGAGTAGGAATATAACATATAAGTGTTTATTTAAATAAACAAGTTATATTACTTCTATACAAGCCTCAAATGTCATAACTTGTAAGTCAAGATTTGTACATATTTCATTTTCTTCTCCTACCCAATATGGTCTTGTCAACGGTCCACATTATACTCATTTCCTTTGGTTTTTTGAATCTTCCTACTGATGTTTAGAGCTGCAATTAATTAGTCTATTTTGACATATGTGCTCCTGTGAGAATTGGCTCGGTATTACCAATAAGTTAAAAATATCATAAGCGAAGTTGGATGATAGCTGTTAAAAAATCCAGGATACACACTTCGTCCTATTTGTAATTCGTCAGTCGAATTTACCTGGACCCGGACAACGATGATTCAAACAGCCGATACAAATGAATCAAAACTCACCCGTTTACACAAGCTAGTGTCCATCTAAATTCATTAGCTAGGTGGATACCGCACTTCTGTTTGCACCTGAAAGTATTGCCTTTAAGTCTTGGAGTGAACCTTAACTCTGAAATGCAGGTATATCCAGATGACAATTCGTGAGTAGTGTGAGACGTGCATCTTGGATTTCATTACTTGCTACCATCCTACTCTGTTCATAGTCCACACAATACATTTTAAGATGAATTTGGACACACATCATATCACTCATTATTCAACATAAGCTGATAAAACGATTACTGAAGAGTGCATAGTAAATTAATTTGTTTTACTTCGAAACTCTATAGACAGAGAAAATTCTACAAGATCCTTTCAACAATCAACACAGACTAGTGTCTAATGTATATTGGTAGCAGTTTTTAAAATAATTAGGTGTTTAGCAAAATATATGATTTTTCTGCCCATTATAAGTGAATCTTCCCAAGTCCGTAGGATGACTTAAGTTTGAGTTGTTGATGAAACAAAGAAGCATATTGTAACGATAACAATTTCCTTTAAAACATAATATGAAACATTAAATGTTAAACATCACTTGTCTACTAATTTACTGAATGACCTTTTAAGATATGTGCATGTGCATTAAGTGTCACTTCATCGTCATCATTTTGTTTTAACTTGAGGTTAATGCGTATCATTTTGTCTTTACAAATCATTTAAAATATATCATAAGGTTGTTCTATTCCATTACAACTGATTTAGACAACATTCATTACACATCAATCATTTGATTCATTATAATCAAATTGCGAAAAACTGACGAGTTAATTATACTTTATTTTAAATATTTTGACCTTGTTATTCTCAGTTTAAAACACAAGATAAACTTAGGTTGACAACTTTTGGAACCAAAAAAAGCCTTGGAGAGCTATTTCATTCTGGTATGGGACTTGTAAACATCGCTATTCTACGACCACAATATGTGAGATAGAATTCATGACAGGTATCCGATGGTATACATGTTCATATTTAACCGGTAGTTTATTGGTTAACATTTCGTAAGTGAGACTGAAGGCCCTAAGTTTGATCCCTACGTAGTGGAGGTCATTGATCTGTATTGTTCGAGTTCTACATTAGGATGAAACAGGTGTCAAGTGCATCCGCGTTCTCAATGGTTATCTTCTTAAGACCAGTTTATAATCCAAACCATAAAAATTCCACAATCCATATAAACCATTCTGCACCAATAATCTTGTATTCTTTCATTTGTAGATTAAGTGAATCTCTATTCAAGAACCACCGCGAAGTTCGAGTTCGTCAGTTATATCACTGTAAAAACCCTTTCCAATCATAGTAAAGTATTTTTAGTAGTCTTTCGAAATAACTCCGTTTACTTCTTCTGATTCGATTGTAATAAATACTCTTCAGTTGTAACTAGGTTTTAAGACTTCCACGTATTGCTTCACTTGATCTCGATAACACCAAATACACTTAACTGTTCCTTTGGATGCTAAGAATTATGGGAATATAAATAACTAGCAAAAAGCTAAGTATTCTAAAGATCTCTGAACATCACATTATTACCTACACAGAAGTCCTTTGTTACTACTGATTAATAATGTTTTCTAAGTGATTTGAAGTATACTAACACATTCACAAATTGTACATATAGTCCTGAAATGCTACTTAATAAGAGCATATAAGTAGTAAACATTTTATTTACAAAATATTTCAGAAAATAAAAATTACATGCTAATAAGTTAGTATATTGTTATTATTATCATTTAAGGAAGAATACTTCAAGATTGTTTAGTTATAATGAATACAAATAAATCACTATAAAGTTGACCAATACAAGTATTACAACTGATGAACTAGATAATCCACTTGCGACACCTTGACGACATCGTAATAATTCATAACGATTAGGTTTACCAGCTAACATTAATTGATATTCACGTTCCATCATTTCGCCATGAAAATACCAAGTACGATCGTTCAATGGATATTCGAAACCTTGACGGCATTCACATTTATAACTACCAGATGTGAAATAATGTCTTGGTATTAATTTGCACTAAAATATGGATAAAATAAAATGGAAGATTATTATACACATAGTTCCCTTTATTATTTTAAAGAGAGCAGGAACAAAGGTTGGTGCAGAATAATATGAATTCATTTTATTTCGTTAGGTTCTCATCAGCTGCTTACAACCTAAAATATTTGAAATTTAACGTTATTATAGGTATTGACATACTTATACATCAGAGGGCGATGAAAGGTGAATAAATGTAGCATGATGTAGCAAAGATTTCGTTAGAGTTAATGAGGTCATAAAATTTTGTTTCGAATATATAGAGTTTTGGAGGGAAGGTTCCAGAACATTGAATTAGTGATTAGAAATCATGGAATTAAA